GCAAGTGTGGTGTGTTGCACAATAGCAAATCTTCAGTTCCTCCAATCAATTTGAAGTATTGACATCTACTGCAGATAAGGTAGAGTGCTTTGCTTGGAAGTTATCTTCCAATTCCACTCATGACTCATCTGGAGTTCCTCTGCCAAATTTTCTCCCTAGAACAGAGGCATTACTGAGTGAAATACACATAACCCCACTTCTGGTTTCTGGTATCATCTCTCAGTTATACCCTCACAAGGCTAACAGATGTGATGGAATCCCTGTTGTTGTCCTAAAGAAATGAGCTCCTGAACTGGTTCCTGTTCTCTACAAACTTTACAAAAAAATCTCTCACTGCTTCTTGTTTTCCAATTTGTTAGAAGTCCTTCACTATAGTTCCTGTTTTTAAGAACTCTGAGAAACCCTCTGACCCCTCAAATTATTGCCATATTAGTCTCTTAACTCTTTTTCAAAAATTATTTGAGACCCTAATCAATGCCAAACTGGTTAAGCATCTTACTTTGTATGACCTCCTTTCAAACAATATGGCTTCTGATTTGCCAGGTCTACTACTGACATGTTAATGGCCATCTCTGAAGTTATCTGTCAAGCTTTAGGATGTGAATGGCTAAACTCAGGCTGTAGCTGTAGATACCTCAAAGGCATTTTACAGGGTTTGGCATGCTGGCCTTCTACTCAAGCTCGAGGGCTATGGTGTCATAGGACATGTTTGGCTTAATACAGTCATTCCTAACCAATCCAGTAACAATGGTTGGATTGAACAGGGAAGCTTCCAGATCATTTCATATTAACACAGGGGTATTTATGCAGATGACATTACCATTTATTCCTGTCTTAGTAGCAAATCCAACAGATCTGACAAAGTATACCTGGCAACTACTCTTGCAAAGTATCTCCAATCAGTTGTTAACTGAGACAAAAATGGCTTGTAAGTTTCAACACCTCCAAAACAAAACTGTTTTCACTTAATCACCACAGAGAACCTTTTCTGCCTACCATCAGCATGGCTGATGCTGAACTCCAAGAGAGCAACACTCTACACCTTCCTGGCCTCACATTTTCTACTGACATGAAGTGGACAAACTATATCAAGTCAATTGTTACATCTGCTGTGAGGAAGATTAGTTTACTATATCATGTTAAAAAAATGTTGTCATTTGAATTGATCTTGCACATTCATAAATCATCCGTGTCTTGAATACTGTTAACATATCTGGTCAGGTGTTCCTTCTATGCCTCTCAACAATCTTGATAAAATCCAGAGAAGGGTCTGCAATACATTTGATCCTGACCCATCATCTTGTCTCCAGTCACTTTCTCACCAATGTGAGGTGGCTTCCCTCTGTCTGTTCTACAAATATTTTTATGGCAATTGCTCAGATTAACTTTTTTTCTTGGTGACTATATGAATTTAAAAGTGCTACTAGATTGGCAACTAGGTCTCACCTTTTTACTGTTGAACTAGCTAGATACAAATGCCACTTCTACACTGCATCCCTGATAAATAGAATCTTCAAAAATTTAAATGCAACATTAATCACCATCTTCTGTCGTCTTGAAACCTATTTTTGTCCTTACCTCAATCCTCCCCATTTTTTTGTCTTCTCATTTTCATTCTCCTTCATTTTCACTCCCTGTAATCCCCTGCATTGTAGCTGCATTGTTGCCTTGCTTAGGGTGAAATGATGAAAAAAAATTTGATTTCTTTGACTAAGAAAACAAAATAAAAAGTTGTTTTATACACAGGAGCTCTGAGCATTACATCCAGTCCATGAAACAATAAAATGCAATAGTCAATTCCTGTTAAATACAGATGACCCCAAGGGCTACTAGATTTGCTTAAAAGAAAGTCCATTGTAAACAACTAACACAAAACATGCCAAAAGGCCACCTGTCAACACAGAATCTAACATATTCTGCTCAATGAACCTTCACTATCCACTCCATGCCCCTTATGTTACCACCACCATGACCTATGTCAACCTATGCCAACACACCATACCAGGCAATTTGGCTTCATTATCTTGCCCTCATATAACCACCAGACCATCAAACACTTCACAAGTGTCAATTTCAACCATGAAGAAGGGTGTACATCAAAACATGACTTCTCCCAACTCTTAACACTCACATCCTCTGTATTGGCAAAGTTGGATTAATAGCTTCACTAACCATACCAGGCTTCCTTCACAGACACCACCATAACCTTGGAAGCCAACCTATCAATCACCTTACCAAGCCTTACCACAAATCAACTCACCATCATGACCTCAATCGATCAACACACCTTACCAGGCAGTTCAGCTTCAATACTTCAGCTTCAACACCCAACTACCAAATCATCAAACACCTCACTGGTATCAATTTCAACCCTGAAGAAAGGTGTACATCAAACCCCACCAATGACAATCCACTTGGCTTCACTAATGCACTCTAGGCCTTACCGGACACCAACTGTGACCTCAGCTAACCAACCCAAAAAATTAGTCAACTCCCAGCTCCACCAACAACACCCTTACACCTAATTGCTTTCCTTACCAGCAGCAACTAAGGAACTACATATGAATTATTTTATCACCTTTTGCACAACTATGTATATATTCTAAATGTTGACTCATACACATTGTTGAGATTTTAATCCTTGTTTTGTTTCCTTTCCTTGCAATCATATGCTCATTATAACATTATTCATTCAATATGTCAATTCATTTCATTAGAATAATTTCCTTTGTAAAAGCATATATAGTAATATCCAAATAATTCTTTTCTGAATTCTTTGTTTTTGTTTTTTTTCAAATTTGTCTCTGAAATTGCCATTTCTCAAAATTTATACTTTTATAGGAATTATATTTTTCAACCAATAAAATTCCATCAAAAGATTTGTTTGATAAACAATAATTACTCCCAAAATTACTTGTAGACTTGATTTTAGACATACCACATTATTTTTTAACCATTTAGAAAATAACAATAATAACTCCCTTCACCACTCCTGCAAATTTGAGAAAAAAAATTTCACAAGACAGTGTGAAATTATTTTCTAAGTAATGAAAACCTTGTATTCAAAAAGTTCACACCTATATGTGAAATTAGATTTTGGATCTCTCATATAGATATAAAAATAGAAGCCTATTGCTTCTTGAGGTTCAAACCAATTTGAGAGGCCAGTTTGATCTACACATGCATACACACACATGCACCCACATACATGTACACAATGACACAATGGAAGAGATGACAGTCAGCAACTGCCGACTAAGGTCTCGTCCACGCACACAATAGAAGGGATTAACCAACCTACTGAGCATTTTATCCATGAACAAACTCATAAACACATCGCAGCAATCATCATAAAGTAAGTCTATCCACACATTTCACACAGGACTAAGAACACTTAATTACTTGATAAAACAAACTTTACTGAAAGAAAAATCCATCATTGTATATCTCTGAAAAGAATATATAAATATAAATTTCAACAAACATCCTGCCTATACTTTTTCTCCAGAAAATAATGTTTTATGTTTCATTTAAAAGATGTGTTGTTTTTGTTGTTGTTAAATGTTTTGAATCACAACAGATAGCAACAAAAATATAGGCAGATGGATCCCAACACTTTCAAGCTAGAAGTAATACCTATATTTTGTTATTTATTTTGTTTTTGGCCTTTCAATTAAACCAAAATAAATAACAAAATATATGTATTTTTCCTCAGTTTCTTCTTTAAATAACTTTATAATATTTTAAACTTAATAAAGATTAAATTTAAAATTTAAAAATTTTTAATTTTCAATTTTATAGTAAAATTTAATACTAATTAGAATGATTTCTATTTTAGTCTAACCCAAACATTAAGGCATCATTATAACCAAGGTTAATTGTAAAGTTTTTTGAATTCTCATATACTTGTATTTTGATTAGTCATTGCAGCTTATGCAACAGAGTTTCCCTATCAAGGCCTTTTAAAATACTTTATTCTACATTCAACACCACACTAAACTACCGAGTCTACAAGCAAAAAAGTAAGGTAAAAATGTGCGTGAATGAACAACGAAGAAATGTGGTTAATCCACACGTGCATATAATAAAATATATTAAGATAGCCGACACAGAATGACAGAACAAAGACTGGATTCCAACAAGAGTAATTTTTATTAAATGCAGGAAAAACAAGTAAATCATCCCGTAGTCGGGATCAATGAAAAAGTTCCGCGCCAAAAATAGAAAATAAGATGGCTAAAGGCGGGAATGGTTCTTGAAGAAGAAAGGTTCCAGTAAGTCAATGTACATGGTAATATTCATACAAGGAAAAATACTCACTGCGAGTTTTTAGGTAATGTGAGTGAATGTTATGTACATATTTCTTTTCTCTTTTTTTTTTGTACTGGTTCATCTCGTAGAAGGACTTTGAATGACGAGTCACAAAGGGCCGAAAAGTTAATTATTTGGTATATGCATCATCTCGTAGAAGGACGAGTCAAAAGGTTAATTATTTGGTATATGCATCATCTCGTAGAAGGACTTTGAATGACGAGTCACAAAGGGCCGAGGAATTAATATTTTGGATGTTTTGCATCATCTCGGAGAAGGACTTTGAATGACGAGCCAAAAGGGACGAAGAATTAATTATTTGGTGTTGGCATCGTAAGATATCCTTCGTCAGACAACCTTGCATATTGACATGGCTAAAAATGAGTCTGCTTAGGTCCGAATCTGGATCACAACTGAACTTTTCTGAAACAACAGTTTGTCGTTGACGTCACAAATTTTTCGCGGGAAGATTTCAAAAATCTAATTTGCATAACAGGTCGCTTGGTTGGTGACCAAAAACAGTTACTACTGTATTAGACCGAACGAGGGAGAAAGGGGTGTCAAACGCGCGCGCGCGCCCGCAAGTGTGAAAGAAAGGGAGGAAACTCGCGCGCGCGTAAATGTCGTAGATGGAATAATACATTATTCCACACAGCCCTCCTCCTGGATCAAATGTCGCAGACATTTGACTAATAATAGTAGAATGTTTCAAATTTCTTTGGAAAGGTGACTTTTCGACCGGAGCTGGTATACTTAGGTTTGTCGAGAGAGACAGGTGTCTTGAAATTCTCCTGAACTTGCGGAGTTGATTGGGAAGTAGTATGAGACGACGGTTTCTCTATAAAGGCAGGTTTCAACCGATCTATTGAAACGTTGTCGGTGTGAATACCTTTTTGTATTTGGAAATATTTGTCCGCGCGTTTAAGAACGCGGTATGGGCCTGTGTAGGCCGGCGTAAGAGGCCGCTTAACAGAGTCATTACGTACAAATACAAATTCGCAGTCTTTGAGCTGGTGCGGTAGATATATATATCACTCGGGCAGTGCCGCGGTGGTGTATAGCATAAGTTTGCCATTTTAAGGCGTAAGTCCTGAATAAAAGAGGAAGAAACTGGTGGTGTGGTCACAGCTGGCGAAAAATATTGGCCAGGTAAAGATAACGAAGTACCAAATACAAGCTCTGCAGGGGAGCATTTTAAGTCATCCTTAAGAATATTTCTTAACGATAGAAGGATGAGGGTAATTCATCGACCCAATTATTATTCTCATGCTTCGTTGATAGCGAAGCCTTAAAGGGTGCGATGGAATCGTTCCACCAGCCCATTAGCACAGGGGTGATACGCTGTAGTACGTATATGCTTTGCACCAAGGAGTTCAGTGAATTCCCTGAAAAGACACGACTGGAACTGTGCTCCTCTATCTGTAGTAACCACTTTAGGAGTCCCAAAAATCGAAATCCAGTCGCATAAAATAGCTTTTGCGACAGTCACAGCAGTGGTATCTTTGACAGGGATGGCAGTAGGCCATCGGGAAAAACGATCCACTATAGTTAGAAGGTAGGAATAACCATGGCAGGTTGGTAGGGGCCCAACTAAGTCCAGGTGTATATTAGTAAAACGAGCATCAGGCTCGCTGAAAGTGCCCACAGGAGATTTTGTGTGTCTATGCACCTTACACTTCTGACATTGTAAACATGTATTGACCCATTCACGAATGTGAACGTTCATATTCGGCCAAACGAAACGGTCCGAAATTAACTTAACTGTGGCTCTTTTGCTAGGGTGTGAGAGTCCGTGTAGGTGGTCAAAAACCTGTCTACGAAGAGACGGAGGAACATAAGGTCTTGGGGATTTGGATTTAACATCACAGTATAGGACCTTGTTACTAAAAGGAGCTGGACATTTCTGAAGTTCCAAAGAAGTGTCGGATAACACCTGCTTCAGAGTTATGTCCGCTTTCTGTTCGTCGGCGATCAAGTCTTGACTGAGTGCATCAGTATGCACGCCGAACATCTCAGTACGAGATAGGGTATCGGCAACAGTGTTATCCGAACCCTTAATGTACCTAATATCAGTAGTAAATTGAGATATATAGTCCAGATATCTGATCTCCCTCGAAGTGTATTTGTCCGAATTGGTGGACATAATGGACGTTAAAGGTTTGTGGTCCGTAAAGATGACGAAGGACCTACCTTCGAGGAGGTGTCTGAAATGCTTAATAGCAAGAAAAATAGCCAACAGTTCACGAAAAAAGTTAGCCAACAGTTCACGACGAAGAAGAAGTGATAGAAAACTGTCTTCAGGGGCAGGAAAAGTGCGAAAGGTGGGTGACTGAGGCGAGCTTGGTTCGTGTGAACGGGGCTAGCCTTGATTTTCTGTTTTAGGTCAGGTTACATCGGGGTGGCTTCCTGTGGTGCCCTCCCCCTTGGTTAGGTTAGACAAGCCTTGGTGTACCTAGTTAATGCGAGTAAGTGTTGTTCCGGCCACAAATCCAGCCTGAGATTCGCTACCTAGGTTTTTTTATCCCCCACTTTTGAGAAGGACTGACTCCCTTAGCTTGTTCCAATGGGCCGCGGTCCTTTTGAGGGTTGCTGTTTAACGTTTTATTTTCATTTATGTTAATATTTTAGCGTCACATCCCACCCCATCTCATTTTTTTTCATCTTCAATTTTTTTGGTATGTGTTAGATATCCGATTGAGGGTCGTCCTCTTAGAAATTGATTGATGACGGACTTAGAAAAATTGCCTTAGTGAAGACCAGCCCTACCCCTACCCCTTTTCGAGCGGTTTTGTATTTTTTACTGCTTTACGAAAAGGCGTCCAATGACCTTCATTCTCAAGCGTCAATAGTCTTTGATTCTTCTTCTTTAATAAGTTGGTAATAAGTTGGTAAGGGAGAATGTTAGAACAGTTTGGAATAAACCTCCTGTAGAAGTTGATCATCCCTATAAAGCGTCTCAACTGTTTAATAGAAACAGGGACGGGAAACTCAGTGATAGCTTTAATCTTTTCAGTTATAGGGGCAATTCCATTTGCATCGACATGATGTCCTAAAAATTCTATATGGTCTGATCCGAAGACACATTTGTCCAGGTTTAGACGAAATCCGTAATGAGACAAACGTTGAAGAACTTCGTGTAGGTGTTGTTTATGCGAGGCAGCGTCCTCGCTAGCTATCAGAATGTCGTCAATGTAATCGAAAACAAAAGGGAGTCCACGCAGAACCTCGTCCATAAGACGCTGAAAGGTCTGTGCTGCGTTGCAAAGGCCGAAAGGCATTTTCAAAAATTCAAATAAACCGAAAGGTGTAGTAACAGCAGTTTTTGGGACATCAGCAGCAGCTACTGGCACCTGATAATATGCTTTTGCAAGATCTATTTTAGTAAAAATCTTTGCGCCTTGTAAACCAGAAGTGAAATCGTGGAGGTGGGGGATTGGATAACGATCCCGGACGGTGATGGAATTCAATCTTCTATAATCCACACAAATTCTATAGTCCTCCTTTCCTGGTTTAGGTACCAAATGAAGAGGGGAAGCGTAGGGACTGTCGGACAGACGAATAACACCCTCTCGTAGCATGTCGTCGAAAGCTTTCATTGCGAATTTTAATTTGTTAGGTGCTAGACGACGAGGACGGGTAAAAACAGGTTGACCAGTGGTCTTAATAAAGTGCTGTGTTTGATGTTTAGTTGAATCAATAGATCCAGCAGGACGCAGGAGGTCCTGGTACTGATTCAATAAGTCTAAGTACTCTTTATTGTGGCACGTTGCCACGGTGATGCCAGTGGTGGTAAGTTTAGAATAAGTGCCAAGAACACACAGTCTTGTTAAGTTGTCAGTCAGGGAATGGTCGTTCATTCGCACGGCGAGATCATAGTGCACCAGGAAATCGGCACCTAATATCGGCATCTGGACGTCAGCAACAGTAAAATTCCAAGTAAAGTCTCGTCGCATAAGGGACTTCGTACCGTAAGTATTAATACTGGAACCATTTGCTGCTTGTAGGCGGAGCTGGAAAGGTTGTTTACGTGCTTTATCACGCACAGGTAAGACACTAATGGCAGCGCCGGTGTCAACCAAAAAACGTAAATTATTACGTGTATCCGTCACATAGAAGAGGCGACTAAGTTTTGGTGAAAATGCCTTGCCAGCGAGATTAGTCACTTTCACTCGCTGGCGGTTTTGTTTTCCCGCGACCGCAGTATAGGAACACGGCTTGGTGCAGTAGTGTGCTGCAGACCCAAATCGTCGGTGGTAGTAACACGTAGTAGAAGTGGCATCCTTGTTCCGACTGGACGAGCGAGGTCGACTTCTGAAGCGCCGGCGGGAGGGGAACCGGCTTCGACCATGGCTTTCTATAGCTAACGTTAAATCTCTAACTTGGCGTTGCAAATCCTCCACTGTTTTTTCCAAGGACCTGTGGTCCCCAGTCGCTTCAGCACTGTGTACTGGCGTTGTCCGATGATCCAGTTGCGAGAAAATACGGTCAGCGGCGTCCGCTAATTGATCGATCGGGGTGTTTTCGGACATGGGCGCCAAAATTTGTGTAATGGTGGTGGGGAGACGGTCCAGCCATAAGCTTTTCAATATAGAGTCAGCCATGGTATTTTTGCCGAGTCGGCTTTTCATATAACGAAAGAGTTGGGAGGGAGTCCTGCCATCGCAAGTTAGGTTGCTAAATAGTTCCCGGATTAATGATTCCTCCGTACGGCCCATTCTCCGTAAGATCGCTTCTTTTAATCGGGCGTAGGGCTCTACTTCAGGAACGGCTTCTAGGAAATCTGCTACTTCGTCGACAATGGCGGGTGGCAAAACCGCCACCACGTGGCCAAACTTTGTTTTTTGGTCTGTAATCCTTCTGACTGTAAAGATAGCTTCCATTTGCAGGAACCAGTTCTTTATATTCCCTTCATGAAAAGGGGGAAAAGGAGTGACGGCGGCGGTCATGTTCGCCAACTCTTCAGAGTCATTAGACGTCATTCTGGCTATCGAATTTATGCACGTTTATATTTCAGCTTGTTCAGAATTATGTTGGCAAGGTTGCAAAATTATTGCGTGTTCAATTCACGTCTCGGGTCACCAAACTTGTTGCAGGCCCGGTAGGGTGCAGTGCTGGTTTATTACTGAGTGGCCTTGTGCCAGACACCACACTAAACTACCGAGTCTACAAGCAAAGTAAAAAGGTAAAAATGTGCGTGAATGAACAACGAAGAAATGTGGTTAATCCACACGTGCATATAATAAAATATATTAAGATAGCCGACACAGAATGACAGAACAAAGACTGGATTCCAACAAGAGTAATTTTTATTAAATGCAGGAAAAACAAGTAAATCATCCCGTAGTCGGGATCAATGAAAAAAGTTCCGCGCCAAAAATAGAAAATAAGATGGCTAAAGGCGGGAATGGTTCTTGAAGAAGAAAGGTTCCAGTAAGTCAATGTACATGGTAATATTCATACAAGGAAAAAATACTCACTGCGAGTTTTTAGGTAATGTGAGTGAATGTTATGTACATATTTCTTTTCTTTTTTTTTTGTACTGGTTCATCTCGTAGAAGGACTTTGAATGACGAGTCACAAAGGGCCGAAAAGTTAATTATTTGGTATATGCATCATCTCGTAGAAGGACGAGTCAAAAGGTTAATTATTTGGTATATGCATCATCTCGTAGAAGGACTTTGAATGACGAGTCACAAAGGGCCGAGGAATTAATATTTTGATGTTTTGCATCATCTCGGAGAAGGACTTTGAATGACGAGCCAAAAGGGACGAAGAATTAATTATTTGGTGTTGGCATCGTAAGATATCCTTCGTCAGTCAACCTTGCATATTGACATGGCTAAAAATGAGTCTGCTTAGGTCCGAATCTGGATCACAACTGAACTTTTCTGAAACAACAGTTTGTCGTTGACGTCACAAATTTTTCGCGGGAAGATTTCAAAAATCTAATTTGCATAACAGGTCGCTTGGTTGGTGACCAAAAACAGTTACTACTGTATTAGACCGAACGAGGGAGAAAGGGGTGTCAAACGCGCGCGCGCGCCCGCGAGTGTGAAAGAAAGGGAGGAAACTCGCGCGCGCGTAAAATGTCGTAGATGGAATAATACATTATTCCACACGCTATCAGTAGCTGAAAAGGTTAGTATTTGTAATATTTTAATAGCTAATCCGCATTGCAGATGCCTGCTCAGACACATTTGTGTTTGTTCAACACCCACAGAGCTCACCATATATATAAATATATATAGTGAAGGTAAGAGTAGCTTCTTTTATCTTAGTCTGTTGCAAACTAAGCATTATTTTGTATTCAAGTAGATCTCACTTATGGTATTATTATTTTGTATTCAGGTAGATCTCACTTTTGATATGGCAATTATAAAATGTCAAACTTTCAAGCACCAAAAATTTTTATTTTGATTAATTTCTTTATCTTTTGGCTGCTTAAAAAATATTTAGAATAATCAAAAATACTTCTCAGAACCTCAAACAAAACATCAAGCAAAAACATCAATGACAAAAATTCTGTATCTTTTCTTCCAATTGACAACTACTTTGCATTAAGATATAAATTTAATTTTATCTTAATTCTTTATTTACTTTGTTTCTTTCTCATCATCACAATTACTATAAAAAGACAGACTTTATTTCAAATTAATAAAAATAATGAAACCTCATAATTACAAAATGCAAAATTAAAAGAGAAAATAGCTCGTTTTTACTACCCATCATTCCTAGTTTTACATAAAACTTCCGTTCTGACCGGAAGTGTACTATACCACGCGATAAAGTTAGCGGTTAAAGTTCTTTTAATCACCATGTCGGACAGAAATTTTGCCAACTATCGTCATCAGCATGAAAGTAACGCAGAATGGAACATTCGGAGGAAATTCTTTGAAAAACACAGCCAAAAATTTCCGGAAGATCGACTGATCTGTCTCTCCATGTGCCATCTGAATGTTGAAGTGTATGGTTGTACTTACCCACCAAAAGTGATGCGTCGTTTGAAGGAATTACGAGATGGAGTTTTTTGATTTAAAACGAACAAGACAATCCACATTCATATGTTATGAAAAGAAGAAAACTCCATCTTGCATTATCACATTTTCCAAGTATGTTTGAAATGGATGAAAAAAACGAGACGATGATCAACCTATTTTCACGTGGAACCTCTGACAAACGAACTAAAATTATTTTTGAATGAATCAAACTTAAAAATGTTTGTTTTTTTTCTATGATTGTTTTTAATGGAATTTTCTCATACACATATTTGTAACAAAAATGAGAACCTAATTTGAAACAAACCTTGAGAAAATTGTACAATGTACATCTAATGAAAAACATGAATATTTGTAATAAATTTTCTTTTTCCCATTTCTTTTTCCTGTTCAATTACCTATCGAATCTTTTAAAAATGGCCCAACTCTCAACAAAAAAGCACGTTAACTCCTAATAATTCTAAGTAATTATTTTATCATTAAACTTTGTTTTACTGATATATTTTTTTAACGATGTTGAAGGTTCCGAAAGTCTGTGTCCAAGTAAAAATATGTTGAAACTTAAAAAAAAAATAGAAATGTATCTTTAATTTTTTTACGTATATTTGTTAACCTAATGAGCATTATAACTTAATTTCTTAAGTTAAAATTAACGAAGTCACTTTTTTTTTTCTTCATTAGTTCATTTTTGGGTTTTACCTAATTTGAATCTATATAATTATTTTTATTTTCTTACATAAAATAGAAAACGCTACCGGACCCCCTCTTTTTTTTTTTTTTTTTTTTTTTTTTAAATACCAGAAATCGGGGAATCATCCGATATGTTTTCAGCACTTAATTTTTTATTTTAAAACAAAGATTTTTCAGTCACTCGCCGCTCCTCGTGATAAAAAATAAACAAACCTTAAAATTGGGGGTGATGACAATTTTATTTTTTTGTAAAGAAATCGGTAAGATTTTATTTCGGTAAAAAAAAGGCAATATAAAATCTGGACATTTAAATTTAAAATGTGTCGCAGTGCTTGCATAATTCTAAATAAAAAAAAAAAACGTTATTTTCTTTCAGATTTACAGAGACTACTACTCTGAATATAAATTTCTGAAAAATGTACACCTGTTGCTTGCCAGATTTTTTTTTTTTATCTAAAAGCTATTGTGTTCCCGAGATACAGCTTTCTTTCTTTAAGCTATACAATACCCCAACCAATTTAGGTCCCTCCCTAGAGTCCAGTGCCAAAACCAAATTTCATTACAATCGTCTTCTGTGTGTGTGTGTGTGTTTTTTTTTTTTTTTTTTTTTTTTTAAAAACAAAAAAAAAAAACTGCTCAAGTGCAAGTCTAATTATTTGACTTGCACTTGAGCTAGGACCGTTTTTGTTTTTACTGCAATTTTAATAGGCAATTCATTGTTTTCGTTACACAAATTTTTGCGTATATAAAAAAAAAAAAAGTCATATTCCATCAGTTCCAACTATTACATGTGAAAAATAAACATTCATATTACACCTGTTTTAAGCTTACTCCAAATTTTCATGCAATGTGTTACTGTTAGTGTTAACTTAACTATAAAGCCCAGTGGAACAATAAACCTTCTTACCATCTTTTACTTTTTGTATTCAAAGTAAATTTTATGGAAGAAATTTCTTTTTAATGTAAAAAAAAGTAAGACATATACTGATATTGTAAAATAATTTATTTTCATAACTTAAATCTGGATATATTTGCAGTAAGGTTTTCTTGTTTTCAGACAAAAAAAAAATGGTTTAGTTAGTAAAGACGCTTGAAGGATTGAAAATATAAAGTTTAATACAATTTTCACATTATAAATATTTTTAAAGATGTTTTTTAGATGTATAATTTAGATTTTTTTTTTTTTTTAGTACAGAATATCAGATAGGAAATAATTCAATTTTGAACTAATTTTATTAATATAAAAATATTTTATTAAATTTCATAGAGGACTATATTTAAAAATTATTGATTTAGATAAATTATTTTTGAACATAAAATCAATTTCTGTACCTTAATAGTTTGGGGTTTTATATTTAAGTTTGTGGCTAGGGTAACGCTAAATTTTTACAATTAAACTCTAACCATGTTGAGAGCGTAAAATAATAGTCGAGGAGGAGACAGGTGTAATAGTAAAATAATACCAGGGTAACTGCTACTATTTGATCTATGAGTAAGTACAATATACCTTGCTTTGTTCAGTTAATTTGCAGTTATATTTTAAATCTTTTTTTTTTAAATTGTTAATTATTCCTTAATTTTCTTTGAAACAAATATCTGGGACAGTTATTTGATTTTTAAATTGTTTCAATTAAAATAACAGATCTATGATAATTTTAATGAAGAAATGTTTTAAAATTTATTGAAATATGGTACGTGAAATGTTTTTCTTTTTTATAGCTTAGTTTTAGGCCTTTACCAAACTTTTACTAAAAAGGAGACATTTACTTTAAATTGGGTACCTCTGCTGATTCGCTTAAAAAAAAAAGTGCATACCATGATGAAAAAATGCCCCAAACTTAAAAACAAAGTTTATCATCTCTTAAGAGGAAAGACAAGGATTTTTTTGATTATCAAATTATATTAATTATTTTTTTTTTTTTTTTTTTTTTTTTTTTTTCAGTGAAAAACATTTATTTGAAAATTCTTACAAAAATCAAATAATTGTTGAATTTTAATGAAACTTATTCACAAATGAATGAAATTATTTTAGAATATTTTTATTTATAGAAAATCTTGGTAAAAACTTTTTACATGTTACCTCCCACTTATTTAATTTTATGAAATTTCAAGGAATTAAATTTTGTACCACTTAATATTTATATGCAGAACTCTTTGAATTTAAATTTTTTTTTTTTTTTTGTAAAACATTATCCCAGTTACCAAAAACCTGTAAAATAAAAAATACAGTAAAAGATATTATTTAATTAGAACATCTTTTAATTGCTTTTATGAATATGATATATTATGGGCACTATTGTCTTAAGAAAAAAATTCTTTTAAAATAATTTTTACAAGATGAGATATATATATATATATGTGAAAGAATAATTTATAGTTTTAAATCTTTGTATTAATTTGTCCTGATTTGGTGATTTTCATTAAGTAAAAACTATATTTACTCATCCTATATGAAAACACTTATGATTCATCAATCCCCAATATTTTAAAGAAAATTTTTTTGGTGTGTATAAACATGCCAATTTTTGTAATGCAGATGTCCATACCCAACATTATCAGAAAATAAGAGCAATAACTATAGTAAATTTAAAGCCAAAGTACATAAAATTCAGTGAAACATTAGATTATAGAGAATATTTTCTTAAATTTTTGAGATTATTGGGTAGTTAAAAATTATATAAAAAAAGTTGCTCAAATTACATTCTTAAAAGTAATGTCCACTAGAAAAAAAAATTAAACTTCCATCTGTCTGTCAACACCTCAAATAAACTACCTCCATGTTAAAAAAAATGCATTTCTGCAATCCAAAAGTAATACTTGTTTCAAATTAAATTAAACTTTAAATTGGCTAATATTCCTCAAATTAATTTTCAGAAAAGTATATTTTATTTTTGAAAGTCTTTAATAAAGAGAATTACATTGTGATGACAGATGGTGCTAAAATCAATGCTTTTTGGGGATTTCAAACTTAAATTAGTTTTGAAATACTTCGTATTGTTTATTGGAAATGTTAAATTTAATCTATTAGCTTGAAATTAAAACTAAAATAAAGCTTCAAGAAAGACTTCATTTTAAACATTACATATCACATTTCTGTGGCAGTACCTACTTTGTTTTTAACATTTTAGAGTTGTAGTTGAAATTTTAGCAGTCTATATTTATTTTTCTTTAAATATCAAAATGATTTCGTTTTTGCAGAAAAGTGATATCCATGATTTGATTCTAGATTCTAAGTTAAAAAAAAAATCTATCAATCACTGTTTACTTTTAATGTCCATATTTTGGAAATAGATAGTTTCTGTCTAACAGGTGTATTTTGAAGATGTTTAGTTATTTCCTTACCAAATGCTGAATTACTTCTCTTAGACTGCTATTTAGTCACACATTCTGAGTGCTATAATTTCTTTCATTATTACTGTAAGTAAAAAAAAAATTAGTGTCAAAAACTTGGAAAAAGAATAGATCTGGTTGAAGAAAGTTAGTTTTTAATGATTGCAATCATTTGGAGGTCAAAGGGTCAAGCATTTTTGAAGTTAAAAAGAGCTATTAGGAAAGGTGATGTAAACTCTATCCCAGAAGATATTCAGTCTGAGTTTCTATGTGATATCTGCAGGAATACTGTTTTATCTTGTGCCAGATTTGCTAGCCATTGAAAATCACATGAAAATCAGAAGTCTAATACCAACCCAGTTAATGTCCTTCCTAACAGACCTGCAAGGTAGTTATGTCCGTTTTGGGATAAAATTTACATGTCTGAAGCAGCACATGAGAGTGCACAAGGAGAAAGTCACTTTCAAGACTCTCCAATCTTTTGTGTATTGTAAAAAGTTATGCAGGAGAAAAGCTGGTTTACAAAGTCATCTGTGGGACTATGGCCACTTAGTTCAACATTGAACAGATGGACAACTTCTATAAAAAAGAGGCAGTTATATTTATTTTTTGTAATCACCATCACTTGATAAGACACCAGAAATATTGAAACAAAATGGCAACGTTTGTAGTGATGTTATAACAAGCATGTTATAATTTTGAATATATATATATATATATATATATATATGTCTTCCATGATGTAAGTATTTATTTTTACTGAATGTTAAATTCCCAATCATTTTATTTCTCTTAATTCTCTAAAAAAAAAATAAATTAAGATGCAGGAAATTTTTCTTGTGGTTACTGTGCATATTTCCTGTGCAAAATCAAACAGCTTAATTTTAAAACCAGTTTCTTGAAGTGTATGTACCTTGAGTGGGTAAGCAGTCATCAATATGAGTTTGTTCCTCATGAGAATTCAAGTCAAATATGGCAATTTTTTCATATTCTTTCAGTTTCATTGAATGTGATATTAATTTATAGTGTCATATTCATATTTACTAAATTTAGCTTAATATAGTGCAGATTACAAAATAGTGTCAGTTTCATAAAGATGACACTATAACTAACTTGTTACTTTTGAGAAAAAGCAAGAATCCAACTATTGTATTTGTCAATTATGTTGAATTTAAGCTAGTCACTTGCATGCTAAAGATAGGAAAGATGCAATGATAAGCAATTTTTTCATACATTACCAATATGTAAAACTCACCAGTTGTCTCATTCCTTTTACATGTCATTGTATTTTTATTATTGCAAGTATGAGTTTATGAACTAACTTTTACTTACATTATTTATTTCTACTTTGAAATTTAAAGTTACTTTTATTGTTGACAACCAATTCTTTAGTTAGCAAATGTAAGCTCTCATACAAATGGGGCACCAAATGTAACACAAGGGAGGTGACTCACACAAGCATCATTATAACAATTAGAGGGCCACAAACGCAATGGCACTAAATGCAATTATGAAAAGATCAAGTGACACCAGTTATAACATACACAAGGGAAAGTATAACAAAGTAGTGTCCCAGTGTTATTGGTGACTTGATGTTGAATGTGATTCTTGTCTTGTTGCACCTGGATTCATATAAACAACAAAAGGAGTTACAAAGTCACCTAAGTTAAGAGTGCCTTTAAAAGTTTGCTTACCCTAAAGCAAATAGAAGTTACCTTTAGGAGCATGATATTTTGATTTCAGGCCAACAGACAGGAAAAAGCTGAACCAAAAATTAAACTACAGAAAATGCCATGAGCAACAGACTAAACACCTACATATCTTCACAGGATTTATTAATAATAGTCGATGATATTCTTTTCTATATAATCTTGGGAAGAGGTGAAGGAATCTGTGTTCACTTTTAATAGCAGGTTATTGCAAGCTTCTTGGTCCATAGCAGGGACCTAACTTTCCTTTATCTAGGTTTTGAACAAAAGACTTGGAAGATAGAGCACTGGTACTGATGATTTGGAACGTCTTTTTTTCAGCAGTAAGGATTTGTGTGAGCATGCTCTTGCAACAGCAAAACAAACTCTCTTGAGTCATTGCCTTGCTTATACAACTATTCCTTATCAGACTGACAGATTTTGGAAATTCAACAATACTTCACAGCCACTAAAATGTTACATCTAATCAAATCAAGGTTTTGGCCAACTGCAGATAGCTTCTTCTATTACATTATCAGTCAGGTTTTGGGATCTTTGAGTTTGGTAAGAAACAACACATCTGGAGGGTTAGTATTTGAGTAAACATCCAATATTGCTGCATTCTATTTTCTTCAGACTCCTAAATCTTGTCAATATGTTATCTCTGAATAATTCTTATGTATGCAATTTCCAATTTTACCAAAGTTAATCAGGGTTCAATTTCTATGAACCATACACTGCATTTTGTTGCTTTAAAATCTTAAACCTGTTTTTATCTTGTCCTTAATCAATATGACTCCCCTCACAACTAACTCCAAGCTATCTAAAAAGTATGACATTCAACCTACAGGGGTTGTAACTCTTACAAATTCATAATTGTTCAACTGTGAAAAGCTCAAACATTTTTATACAAGCATGCTGATAGCCAAAAACTAATTAAAACAAAAATTCTGATATTTCATCATATTTTGGAAAGTACATCAGATTGACAATTTTTCAAAAATCCCTTGTATATCAGTTTCAAATGGATGGATACCTAATTTTTATTTTATTTTTTTAAATAATTGTAATACAAATTAAAAACTTAAATGATACTTGACTTTCTGAGTTAATAAAACTAAAAGTATAAAATAGTATGTGATCCATTATCAGTTTTTGTTTTTCCACTATAACATTGTATATTTAATGTTGCTAATGCAATGTTTTGGTTTGGTTTGGTTTGGTTAATGTTGCTAATGCAATGTTTTGGTTTGGTTTGGTTTGGTTAATGTTGCTAATGCAATGTTTTGGTTTGGTTTGGTTAATGTTGCTAATGCAATGTTTTGGTTTGGTTTGCAATGTTTTAATGTTTTTGGTTTGGTTTAATGTTGCTAATGCAATGTTTTGGTTTGGTTTGGTTAATGTTGCTAATGCAATGTTTTGGTTTGGTTTGGTTAATGTTGCTAATGCAATGTTTTGGTTTGTCCATTCTTCAGCTCTCTTTTGGTTTTAATCTCTGAGAAAAATTAAATTACTATCACCAGATAATCTCTAATCAGTCTCGTTTTAAAAATCACATGTAAACATCATTTTTTTTTCTGCACAACACTGACAACAAAATTTCAATGTGTAAAAGACTGAAATATTTTTAATAATAAAATTACATTAAGAAATTTATACTTTTTTTTCATATACACCATATTACAAATGTATATACCTTATTTAAAATTTACAAATTTTATCTTTTGAAGGCTGTTTAAAATACAGATGAATTTTCTTCAAAATAAATACAAAAAAAATGAATTTACAATTCCATTCATTTCAATTCAAGATCATTTCAATTCTTTGCAATGTTCCTCTTTACTGATATGGATGTGTGAATTCATATGGCTGTCTTCTTCGAAGATGTTCTGCTCCGAGTAAAATCACTCTCCAAAAAATAACTACTGTTTTTGTATGTTTTATAAAATATGAACACAATATGAGGCCAGATTTTTTTTGAGCCTCAAAAGAATTTGAGTCTTAAAAATGTTTAACTTTTTAAAATTTCAGTCAGCAAATGGTTTATCTTTTTTCCCTTGGTTCTTAAAGAACTTTCCTTTTGGATACTGAAAAATACAAAAAAATATTAATGAATACATAATTCTTTACATTATTTCATTTGGTTAATGCTGCAAGTAAACCTTCCTTTCATGAAAAAAAAAATCTTAACTACATCTTAAGATTCAGACTGATTAATAAATTTCCTTATCAATAGAAAAATTACAAAAACTTGCCACTTTCATCAAATAATGCATAAATTTATACTTATGCTTGCAGAACACTGTATTTTTTATTTTCCTCATAAAATCATATAAGCATGAATTATACTTTCACTGCTGTTATCAACTATGCAATAACAGTGATTTTTTTAATAGCAATTGCTGACCTTTTGACTTAACACTATCATGTGCACTGAATACTTATCAGCTTGTCAAATATCAATATTTGAAAAGAAAATTTAACTTGACACTATATTACAAGTCTGCTGAGTAAAATTGTAATGCATAAGTTCTGGAGAATAAAAATGTTTACAGATACACTTCATATTTGAAGAGAACTGGTCCTAAAATAACCATCATCTGGAATATTGGATTTATTCCAGTTTATTCCTTATGATGAAGAAGTACTGAAAATTTTTTTATCCCAACCAAGAAGACAATTAAAAAGAGCTTTACAAGTTCCTATCATAGATCTGGAAAACAAGCTACATTCAATGGTTATACATCTTACTTATGAAAGACAACAATAAAATTGATTTGGTACATCATTACAAAAGAGGGACTTAACTTTTATTTGAAGCAAATATGCTTAAAATGTCATTTTTGATGATGAAAAACTTTAATAATACTTTTGTTGTTTCTGTTTTGTTTTTTTAAAAACCGTAAGAAAATTGAAAAGTATTTATTCTTGAAGAGAACAATAGCTGCAAAATGTTAATTTAAAAAACCATTTGTATATCCAGAAAATGGTTCTTGAGTTACATTATTTTTTAATATTCCTACGCTATTAAAAACTACACATACCTCTTTGAAAAATAAGTATTACAGAATTAAAATAAAATACCAATACATAGATATAATGTTAATGATAAATATTCTTACCTTTTTATCATGTTTCTTAAATTTATTTTTAAAAGATTTTGTTGGGGCAGATCCAGCTGAGAAAACAAAACAAAAAGTATGATAGTTAAAGAAAACTTTACTGAAAACAGTAAAAAAAAAAAAAAAAAAAAAATGGCAGCAGATATTTTATTGTATATTTAATTTTTCCAATAGGGAAAATCTTGTTTAGTTATTGAGAAGGTGATAAAAGTATAACAATTATGCTCAGCTGCAAAAACTCCTGTCATTTCAAACTAGAATGTCTGCATTACTGGTTTGAAGTTGTTTTTTTTGGGTATTTTTTTTTAAATAAATGTACAATAACCAACCAATGGATTTCTCAGTAATATAAACTAAATTATAAATTTGTGCCCTTAGATAGATAGTTGGATAGGTAAAATGGCACAGATTTATAAATTAAAAATTTTCTCTTATGTCAGTGTACTTGACATAATTTCTAAATTATTTACAAAAAATCTGAATGTAAATTATTTTATGAAAGTTATCACGAACTTTCTCTTTTCAAATGTTAAGAACTTTCTAAGCCTGTTAGGCAATAAATGATGACACAAGAATTAACTTTTCAATATAACTACTTTATAAATTGTTTTTTATAAATGTATTTTTAGGAACTATGTATCCAAAGAATATGTTGTGTATGTTATTTTTGATGTTAAAATGTGGTAATTCTTTAAGAATAAAAATGCAGTTTAAGTAAAAACCTGTCTCTTTAATCTTGAAGTCAATACTCTATAATTGGCCAGCAAAACATCTGCTTCCTCTCCTTTCTAATGTATTAATAATTCATTACAAAGCTCCAAGGGACTGTTGCACAAAATTATGAAATTTTAATTTGTAGAACTGGGGCAAAAGTTATACAAACTAATTTACTCTTTAATGATTTCTACTGATAAATCAATTATTTTACCCACCAAATGTTTTAAACAAAAAAATGAGAATATTGTTTAACAATTAAAAGAAATTAAATTTTTACCCACATAGTAATTTACTACTTTTTTTTTAATTAGGTTCTTCAATCTCTGTTTTTTTTAAAAAATAGTTAATTTTTGCTACATTTTTTACAGATTTTTGTCTTTTTTTTTTCTTGGTGCATGTCCCTTCAAGATTTAGGCAATTATAACTCTCCACAGATTCCTTTCCGTTATTATAGATGAATTGCCGTGCTTTTTTCAGAAAGTTAGTGAAATGTTTTCTTGTTGCTATCTATCTCCATAGTTTTGAATTCAGAGCAATCCTTCTCTTAGATTGGCTGATATCCAAGGCCCAGTCTATTCTGCCAATATTTGGTGGAAGAAGAGATTAATTTGTACCTTTCCAAAGGCATTAAAGTGAAAGTGGACACAAAAGACAACAGAGTTTTAACTTGTGTTACCGATTCCACTTTACATGCTGTTACACTACAAGTACATCCATCATAATGTCCATACCTACCAAAATGTGTAAATTTAAGTTATTTTTCTTGTTTCTAAATTAATATATTTACTGCTAATTAGGATAGATATTTGCAATAGACTGTACAACAAATTCAGTACATCCATTGTTTATTGTCAAAAGGAAGAGCCTGAGTCTATTGAGTTGTCATAGCTACTTGTGATGCCATGGAATGGACATACAAGTGAATATACTAATTAAAGCAAAAAAAAAAAAAAAAGTATTCTGAAAATTTTTTTAGCAGAAATTATGTTTTACTGAACAAGAACAAAAAAAGACTAAAAAACAATTTCACAAACCTTCAAACATTTGGAAATTGGCCTGTGAATAATCATATGGCTTAAAATTCTCTGAAATCTGTTTGTTTTTCTTCTCTGTGCTCAATGCTTCAATTATTTCCACATCAGAATTATCAGAGTCACTGATTTCCACCATCTCAATCTTTTTTCCCTTAGGAAGCTTTCCTTTTGTTGTGGCAAAAATTCCTCGCTCATTCCAGTTCTCATTTTCTTCACCAGTATTTTCTGATTTTTTCTTCTTTGTTACACTTGGCTGTAACAAGAACAATGGCCCAAATTAAAATGGCAAAATATGAAATCAAATGCAATTTTATTCAACATTTTTAAAACAAATAAAAGGATTACAAAATAGAAAGCAAAATGCAATCTGAATATTAAAGATTTGTAAATAACAAATTGTATTCAGTTACATTTTTTTTTAAATATTCATCAAGCTGAACATTTCAGAAATATATTTTTAAAAATCAATATTACAGGGTTTGAAATGGGCAAATTATTGCCATTTTATATTTTTAATTTTGTACATGCATGTTGTTTATATTTTATTTTGTCAACTGCACAGTATACTAGGGTCAGTTGGGCACAGTCTGTCAGAAAAAAAGCACCATGATGCAATTCACTGTCAGAAATTTGGAAACAGCATGCTGTACTGCTTGGCATTCACATTGGAAGCTACAACACAAACATTTCAGAGTGTTTGGGTGTCAAGCTGAGGACAGTGCAGAGGATTTGAAAGAGTTGGATAACTAATGGTGATCATGAAGGTACAGCAGCTTGGAAAACTCACTTTGATCATTCTGATAAGAACTCCTGAATTAGTTGGTGAGGGCTTGACTCAACACTGAGACCTACACCAAATGCCTTGAGGAAGTAGTGCTACCCTGGGTCAAAAGGGTGGCCACTGGAAGACCCTATGTCTAGCAACAGGACCCTGTACCATGTCACACAAGCAGGGAAACCGAGTCATGGCTGTTAAACAATTTGTGACCACATCACCTGTTACATCTGGCCAAACTCCCCAAACTGCAATCCCCTTGATTATTGTTTGCAGCGCAGTTAAACAAGACCCCAAAAAGTCTAACCCTAACACCAAAGATGAACTGAAGGCAAGGATTATGGCAGCATTCACCAACTTAAACAAGGAGACCATCTAGAAAAGTTGCAGGAGATTCTAAAAGTCATCTGGAGGCCATGGCTGAAGCCAATAGCGATTTTATTAAATAAATTTACTCTTCAATATTTCAAGATATTTTTGTGTAATTTTCATAAATATATCTGTTAAAATGTTATTTTCATTTTTGTGTAATTTAGACAATCTATCCATCACACTGTATATTATATGGTGTGAAAATTTGATATAAAAGAATATTTCTCAAGTATAACTGATAAATGAAAACCAATTCAGTTCAGATCAGAATGCAATACAACACAGGACTAAATATGGAGAAATGAAGGTAAGAAGATTGTCTTATACAAATCTTCAAAATAGAGTGTCATGCTGCTGTGAAAATCAGCACTTGAAATCCTATACAGCTGGGTTTGAACACTGGCCTCTGCTGACACATCTATGAGGTAAGCTAACTGATATTTACTAAGCTTAACTTTATATAGTAAAACACACAAATATGGGATACACAGTGAGAATCAAACTCATTACAATAATAATGTTTTTTGAGACTAAACTGCTAATCATTGCTCCACACTGAAGCACTTACGTTCAGATATCATTTATGAAAGGAGACAATATTAATCTCCACAATCCGTGAGGCATACAATCCACCAACTACTACTGAGTATACATTTTATAGATTAAAAATTCTAATTGAATTTGCATGCACCAAATCAGAACAGATTTATAAATGCCAATGAGAACACCTGATGTTACAAAAATAAACTTCCTACCTGGAAACTGAGTGGAATGACTTCATTTGACTCTTCTTCCTCTTCTTCTGAAGACTTGAATCTTTTATGACTTGCTGCTGCAAATTACATAATTCATTCATCAATTTTACTGAAAATAAACATCTAAAATCATAAAGACAATTTCTGAAGGCTCAATTGCCTTTTATAAAGCCTTGACTTGATAAAAGAATACTTTTCAGACCAACATGCTCATTTTGGTTGTTATACTCACGCTTTGTCTATTGGGCTTTTGAGCTTTTTCTTCAGGTAGTCAATAACCGTCTCATGAGTAAATCATTCTCATTCCACTTTCCATAATTAGAGAGTATATCATCTTGGTTAATATTCTCCAGTCATTCACCTTTGGGTTACTTGTGCATTTCTTCTACTGTATGTAACTTTTAGCAAATCCAGGGATTGAACTCACAGTGACCAGTTAACTATATGTTTTAACCAATTCTTTAATCCACTAGGTCATGTTTTTCTTGTACAATCTAGCAGTGAAATTCTGAAGCCTTAAACCTGCCTGTGCCCAAATGGTGGGACTATGAGTTTTCTTTCCTTCTTAAGTCAGAATAACGACTCATCTGCAAGCCTAATATCAGCTCCCATGAAAAGGTTCAAAAGAGTCAAAAACAACAATAAAACATCTGCTACACTGTTTAGTATATATAAGGGATATATTAGAAAAGATTCAAAGGCTTTGCTCTCTCCCTCTCTCTATATATATATATATATGAAAACATCAGGATTATATTCAGAAGTCTTTGGAAATATCTCTCCCAAACCACATATCTGAAGAAAACATAACCAGGAACTGTGTTCATTCAATGCCATACAGTTGTGGTAAGGAATACAAAGACCAGCCAATCTGAAAAGCTGTTGCCTGAGATGAGATATTGAAATATATATATATATATATATATATATATATATATATATATATATACATACATACATACATAGGGTAAAAGGTTGATCATCAACCCCTGCGGAGTGATGTCTAGATTACAGGCAGACAAAAACACTGAAAGATGACTGAAAGGATCAGTACTCATGTTAGGCACTGAAAACCTCTTCAATAGACTGAGCATAGAAATGAATATTATCTGGAAGCTTTTGATTATGAAAGAAAGCAGAGTCAAAAATTTCATTACCACAGTACAGACAGGTTTATGGCCCCAGCATTTATCTAGAAAATTCTGAGGTTACCAAGTATGAAGACAGACACCTGCAGCTATCTGTGTCATCTAAAATATTCCAACAAAAAATAGAGAAATACTAATTGAAAAAAAAAAAAAAAAAAAAAAAAAAAGGAAACACCATTCTCAGCCCATTTGCATATTAACTCAGTAAATAAATGCCAATATAATTGGAATTAAATTTGAATCTGCAATTAAAACACACTGACTGATTGAGTATGTCAAGATTATTTTATGAATTTTTCTAACACAAAAATAAATTTCAATCAATTCAGACTCACCTCTCATTGTTTCAGAATCTGGAGCTGCGACACAAATTGTAGATACTCGTTTAACTTTGTCTTTCTTAACTAATTTCCATGGAGTCTGAACACAATGAAAAACAAGAAATCTGTCAATAATTAAAAGAGGATGATAATAAAGTTTGTTTTTTTTTTAGTTTTTTTTTTTTTTTGAAAGCTTACGAGAAACTTAAAGATTGCTTAAAAAAATGATTGCAAAAATCCTGTGTATGATAATAATAGTTATTGTTAGATTTTTAAAAAAAAAATGATAAAATTAACTTACAAAGGAGGATAAATCACCATTATTTTGATTTTCTTCATCTACTGGGAAAAACTGAAATATATAAATTCAAAATAAGAATTAGATTAAGTCCTAAATATTAGCATCTCTACTTTTTATGCAAAAGGAGCTCTTCCGTTGTTCAAATATAAAACAAACATGCTAGATCATTTTTACACAAAAGAAAGCTGATTTGCCTTCTTTCTAGAATTCTAGAACTTACCACCATTAATGTTCTAAGCACTAAGCCTCAACAACATGCAATTGTTTTTTTTAATAAACAAACATCATGACAGCAACACCAGATAGTATCATCATGAAAGTAAATGTCATTACTTATTCACATTTGAGGAAATCAGAAAAATGAAAAACATTTTTTGCAAAGATTGTTAACAGATTAAAAAAATTTTAAAAAATGCATTTACCATAGTGAAAGGATTTTGAAAAGACTTTTTAATAGTTTCAGCAAGTTCACAAGCTTTGGTTTTTGCAGTCTCCTGTTAAGGAAGAAATATATACATACTTGTAAAATTAATGAAATTTAAAGGTTAATAAAATTTGAATTAATTTACACAGCTATGGTCAAAGCTATAATTATTACAAAAAGAAAATACCAAGGGCCATCCAAACACTGCCAAAGAGGGTTTTTTCTTCAGTGTCATGACACTGTTTTCTGTGACTGCAGAGGCACGTAGGGGTTCTGGTTCAGTCATGCAATCTGCAAAAGAAAAAATGTAATCCAGCTATAACTAATTCAATTTAGAAAGGTCAATTGTTATAGAGAGCATAAAAGAACTTGTTTACATCTGTTTGTTGGTATAGGAAATGCTGTTGTCAGATGAAGTGTTTTATTGTTAAAAAATATCAATTTAAAATATCTGGTAAATAATAAACTGTTTTAATTCAAGCCAACTTGACTGGGCTAATCCATTCACAAGTTAAAGTTGCCAAGGCTTTTGGCAACTTTAAAAATGAAAGTGGCACTTGGTAATAAGTAAGTGTATAAGTAGTTTTATTGTATATACAACATAAATAAAAAGAAAAATAACAAAAATTCCAAACTGAAAATTCACATCTACAAGGATACAGGCAATTGAATCAAAGGTTAATCAGCTCAAGACCAACAGACAAATGCAGGGGAGAAAGCTTCAAGGTCTTGATAGGGAAGAATGGTTTAATGACTTTGGTTGTCACCTCTCCCATGTGGCATGGTATACTTTCTCCTAGTGACAGTTCTGACAATTAGCCTGGCTTATGATCAGATTTAATGTTTCCAATCTTCTAATATGTAATTTCATTAATGAAACTTCTGAACCCAAAAATCAATGAAAGCTTCTAGGTACTCCCCAAAACCACTGCCAATAGCAAGTGGGAGGGAGTGAATTATTTCAGATCTGAACTGTTCACTACTCAAAAACCCAACTGTTCAAAAATATTTTCTACGGAACACTTGTGCACCAAGTTACCTAACTGATAAGACAGGAAAATTAAATCAACCCTGAATTTCTCAACTTGTTAGCACTCAAAAATCCTATGACAAGTAAAATGTTCAAATCAATACAACATTATTTATTTCATTCTCTAAGTTCATGTCTGTTATTAGCTATTCCTATCAAATTATTACTTTATTCTCAAATCAAACCTAATTACTATCAATACCACCACCGCCTTTACCTTACAAACAAATGATTTAACAATAAAAGGCACCCAAAGGGCTTATAAATTGTACAAGAGGGACACCTTAGAGATTCTTCAAACAAAATGAAAAATAACTTAAAAAAATAAGCAAAAAACAGAAAGAAAAAGATTTAAAAAACAATTAAAATTCTATAGCTTTAGATTATTATATTTGGTATTCAATAAAAAGAATACTTTATCTAATCCAAATTACTCTTACCTCTGTTCCCTTTTGTGATAAAGATTTGTTGTACACTTTACAATTTGAAGAAAATTTATAAGTCTTTTCATTAATCAGTTCATGAATTTTCCAATAAAAAAATAAAAGATAAAGTGTATAAAAATTTACAAAAACATGACAGGATGAAATAAAATGTTTGATTTTAATATATGATATAGAATCTATTCATACCAGATTCATCTGATGCCATTTTTGATAAATCATGGGGGCATTCCATCAAACTATTGGCATCGTATTTTGGATCTTGAACAGAAGGTGCTACTTCCTTTTTCTCAGTAGGAATAAGGACCTGGAGACAGTGGGGAGACAAAAAAAAAATAATTATCTTTGCTTGAATAAAGAAAATGATGCAAAACGTCTGGAAAAAAAATGAATTAAAATAAACAAACATTACTGTATCCCAAACAATATATATATATATATAATATATAAAAATAAAATTTAGATGTTATTTTTAGTGGATATCCATATTTGAATAGGCACTCTATTTATGTATATTTATTTATTTTCGTCTACCAGCCTTAATATTCAAGAGATCTTATTAAAGAAAAAGTTCTCAAATATTCAATCCAGTAGACAAAAATAAATATACTACTGTTTAATAAATAAATGGAGCATCGAGTAGTGTATCCACTAAAAATTACATTTAAAGTGATAAAATCAATCAGTCAGGTTAACAAATAAAAATAAAACTATATATATATATATATATATGAAAATTTCTCCGATTTAATCGGTAGAGAAGACAATATTTATGAATAAAAATGACAATAGGAAAACTGGTAATTGCAAAATCAAATATCAAAGCAAAATACGAATTTTCATATTTTGCTTTGATGAAGTCCACATTGGACGAAACGCGTCAGCAATTACCAGTTTTCCTATTGTCTTTTATTTTTTTTATAAATATATATATATATATATATATATATATATATATATATATATACATACATTACACACACTATTTACATTATTCGGACTATTGTCCTCATCTTTGTTGCCATATTTATTATGTTTCGGCCATTGTACGCTCCAGCCTTCTTCAGGTGGTTGGAACTACAATAAAATAAATACAATAAAGTTTTTCTGGAGATTATTAACTAGTAGCAAATTTACCTTGACTAGAGGACTTTCTCTTGCTTGCTTCACTAAAATATGAATCTCCTGTAGGTGTTGACGCACAAGGGGAGGGATAGGGTTACAGCAAGCTAACACACCTTGTCTCTCACGAGGCAAAATCTCAGTAATCTGTAGCAACATATGGTTTGGTAACACATACCTGAAAGGAATAAAATATAGTTTGGATTTTGAAAAAGAAATTAGATATCACAATTTCAATTTTAAGATTTCCTTCACATCAAGCAAGAAATTTTCTATTACAACCAAGTAACTGAAAAATGTGCAGAAAAAATAGAAATAAGGACAAAATTTATTAAAGGACAGGAAATTGTGGAGGGCCATGATTGCCAACGTCTGAAGGGACACAGCACATAGAAGAACTTCAAACTCTTGACAACTTGAGCTTGCAAGGACAGGCATAATGCTTATCAATAAACTGAGTTTATTCTGGCTAGGACTGTTTATGTTTCCTTTGAATTAATGCTCTTAAGAGAGGCATGAATCTATCTCTCCCTGTAATCTGTCCAATTGTCAGATATCTTGGCAAAATACTTTGTCACTCACATGCCACAATGGTTAACAAAAAAAAAACAGGTAAAAGATCACAAGGACAAACTACTCTTCCATAACTATTTGTCCAGGTAGCTGCAATAAAATGTTGATACATTCATTGACAGTTCAATCAACCAATATAAATGTTCTATTCACTTATTTTTTTACTAATTCTTCAAATTTTCCTATAACTCCAAGTGCTTTAACAGTTTTATCGGCATAAGTGACAAATCACATGGTAAGTAGCCACCTAACCCATTGTCAAGAGAGTTTTTCTTCTTTCTTGCTTTCATTACTAAGCATCATATGTCTGTTATTGCTTGATAAGAAACATACAACAGACAGAGAAGCTCATTTTTTACTACAGATGAAAGTCCTTTTTTTTTTCTTTTTTTTTTTTAATAATTTTTTTTAATTTCCAGTAATTCATTTCAACATTTAAGCTGAAAGACATTAGAAATAAAATAAACATTTTCATAATTTTTCTTAAGTACATGAGGATACAGGTGTAATTACTATAATAAATTGGCTCAAATTTTTAAAGAAATCTGTTAAAAACTTTCATGGAACAATTTTATTCTAGACAAGCCCAAACTAAAATTAACAGTAATGCCTGAAAATCATAACTATGAAATAATCTTGGATAATTTTCATGCTCTTTTATTTTTTTTTCTAGCTTCAAGGCCATTTTTATTGAAAACTGACATGTTACAAAATAAATAAGGATATATCATTTTTGATCATGTTAGCATGAAAACTAAATAATTTTACAACTTAACAAATGCAATGGAGGTTGTTTAGCTATTAAAAACTCAAAATAGTTGTGAAATTATCTCAAGAATAGCCTCAATTGTGAAGGAAATATGAACAGGAACGGCAATGGCTCATATCATCAAGATGTAACAATATGATTTCTCAGAGATCTTTAGAAGATAAGGAGATAAATTTGTTCTTTTTAGTTCATTCAGCTATTAGATGTTCGTAGGAATTTTGTCTCTAGTCCAAATTAAGTGAACTTAAGGGTTAGTGTTTCAGGATTCATGTCTCCAGTTCGCCTTTGAATTGGGAAACACAAATTTTATAAATGATTTTAGATAGTCATAAAAGTAGTCCTTTGAAGATTTGACCACCCATATGGCTCTAGGGTGGCCCCAAATCTTCCAGAAAGACAAGTGGATGGGGGGGGGGTGCAACCCCAGGATTATCCATATAAGCAAAGAGTGACAGGAAGTTGGAAGGAAAGTGAATGCAGCCGTGAGAGAAGTAGATAGGTGACCAGAGGAGTTGGAGCTGCCCAGTGGCCAGTGACAAAAAGACCAGTAGTGAGGAATCAGGAGTTACCATGTCCAGTGAAGTTAGGAAGATAGCAGCCCACCTCTTGAAGCAGAAAGGAAGGATCCCACATTTAAGTGGGAAATCGTATTGTTGCTACTTCCCAACCAGAGAGTCTTAAAAAACAATTGTCTTCAGTTTTTTTGTTGAAAGCAATCACAGCCGAGAAGACAAACCTGTGCACATAGCAAGATGGGTGTATATGCAAATAATCTTGGATGTCATCACATGTGTAGTGTGCGACAAACGATCAAAGAACGTTGTCACAAAACTCATCACAATTTCACCACAAATGGCGTCACAAAGAGGATGCTTCTCCAATCACTACAACCTTAATCTGTTCAAGTCTAGGTTTAACTGTTATCTTCCCCAGATATCCACATAAACTGTGCTTCTTATTTTGTAACCTTCTACTTCGAGTGGCTCTCAAGTCTTGTACATAGTGAACATCATTGTATAAAAAAAAAAAATTAAAAAAAAAAAAAAAAAAATGTAAAATACCAGTTTTATAGCCATTTTTCTTGAAAGTAAGAAATAAAACCTGCACAAGGAATTACAAAATCTTATTGTTGACAAGATATTTGTTATTATTTCTAAAATTAGATTTGGTATTGTTCCCTAGTCCTTAACAAGAACAAAACCCATTATTTTGTTTATGCTCACCCTGTACTCTCATCTTCATTACGAGCTGTTCTGTCACGCCAAGCATATAGCAGTTTTAGTGCTAACAGTTGCTGAGAATTGAATGTTTTCCTGCTTTTATGATACAGTTCCAAATATGATTCCTGTGTAAACACTGGCTTCTGGTAAACCTACAAAATATGGACAAGATTAGCATAAAACCAATTTAAAAAAAAAACACTAAAATGCAAAAATGAATGTCAAGAAGATGGAATAGATTTAGTAGGAAATTAATTTCTTCAATCTAATGTAATAACATCAAGATTACATAAGCATATATTAAAATCTCAATACATCCATCAGGCATTTAATTGAGAAAAATTTATGTAAAATAATACATGAATAACATAAACTGCATTGATATTTTAATCAAGTTTTCTAATGTATTTTACTTATTTCCCCAACCAGCCACTAAAATTATTTACATTGCTATGGATAAAATCATAAGGACAAAATGAGGCAGCATATGAATACTGAGCAACTAAATTGTTCTGAACATCCTCAGAAGTGTCTGGAATTGTGTCAAATGACTTTTACAGTGGAACCTCTCCAGGAATCTGCTGTCACAGCTTTGAATTTATTTCCTTGACTGCACCATTCTTTGAATTAAGAGTACTTCATGCAGTCAATGGTAATTTCTATAGTAATGGGCCATTTTTTGTTTTGTTTTTTTCACACTTGAAACAAGTGAAAAAAATTAATATTGATAATTTTAGAAATTTTGTCTGAAAACGTTTCAAAATGTTTTAGCCCTTTAAGTTTTTGTTGAACTGAAAAAATTATTTTAATTCAAACTTGATCTCTAATGCTCTCTTAAAGATCAGTATCACTTTTCCTATCATCTTTTTCTAACCATGTTAACATCATGTGCCAATTTACCTTCAAGAATGTAACTTTTAGGCTGTAATAAAGCGCATATATATTCCAAACTCAATCACAAATGAACTCAGTTGACAAATTTGATCTCATCAAACATTATCTGAAGTCAAAAAACTGCTTTTGTACAACATAGCAAATTCAATATCTCACCTCATACTGCTAGAAATTACTTATTTGTTGGAAATGGCATGCTATGCACCTTTTATGACCCAAGCCTCACATGTTATTACTTTAGGTTTTTCAGTTACCAATATCTCACACCATTTTTGCTAGAAATTGTTTATTTGTTTAGAAACTGCATGCAATGGCCCTTTATGACCTCTTGTAGCCTTAAATGACCAGAGTTCAGCTGCACATGTTATTACTGTTTTTCAGTTCCTGAAATGTTTGATCAGCAACATTTTAATAGTTATATTTACTGAGACAATTTATTGATGCAATGTAACTTTCCATCTTGAAGAAAAGTAATGAATTACTCTCTTCTAATGGAGAAAAGATTTAGTTGGTATGGACTAGAGTTGAACAAATATAAACAGGAAACTAAAGACCAATCAGGTAATAACAATTGAGGTTACCAATTCATTTTGGTGCCAGACTATAAAGTAAATAGTCATAAAAGCAGAGTTTTTGTTACCTATGAAAAAAACAAAAATCCTATATAGTTTGTTCAATATCAATGATAACTGCCAAGACTGCATGTTTATCTTTTTATGAAACAGTACACATGGTAGAATAAAAACTACTAGTCTTCTTGATTCCTCTTCTTTTATTGTTTTTGCTCCTTAATAATGTTCTGCTTTTTCTTTCACACTCAGTAACCCCTTGTGTCTTAGTGGATTTATTGCCTTGCTTGGGATGAAAAAAATTTAAAAAATGTCCTAGAATCTATAAAGTTACATTTTATAATTAGAACCTAATGTAAATAAGAGAATAACCAAGCCTAGTTTATGTTTTTAACACTTTCATTTGGAAATATCTACTTATGAATGTACAGGTGGTGTAATGGATAGTAGCTTGAAATGGAAAATCAAAGAGCCGAGTTCAAATTCCTGTTGAGTGTGTTGCATTCACTTACACACAAATACACTTGAAAAAGGTATGAATCCATCCCTCTCCCCAGCTATGGGCTAAATAGTAAAGCAGGCTGGGCTCTTCAGTCTTGGTTGGCAACTAGTCTAAAAAACAGATAACTCTGAATTCAAAAACCGTATGTTGCCCTGGTAAAGTACATACCATGTAACTAATGAAAGGATCATGAAGTTCACAATGACTATGATTCTAACTGTGGTCAGCCTTATTGTTACTAATTAGCATAATAAAATTTTCAGTTCCTACATGATGTAAGCAAAATAAGAATAGAATTCTACTTACTCTTAGGCAAACATCCCTGCTTCGATTCAGTGTAGATATTAGCAAGTTTTTCTGTGCATTACCCTTTTCCAGCAGTTCATTTTTCATTTGGTCATAAATATACAACAAATAATGTGTATCTTCACGAGCATAGTTGACCAAAACATCAGGTAGGGGCCTGAAACACAAAAGAAAATATTGTTTGCATAAACTTTGTGACAAATATTTAAAGTAGTCACTTCACTCCATGCCTTACCTCAACAGTTAAAAATAAATAAATACAGGTATCCCTTGATTAATGTGCATTCAATTAGTGTGCTAAAATTTTTATATACCAAAATTTGATTATTGCATACATAATACTTGATTAATGCAGTAAAACCAGTTTAACCATAGTAATTGAAAATTGATTTTTTTATAACTACTGATGTACACATTAGCTGCACTAATCGAGGGATTCCTGTAAATAATTCTGAAGATTTTTTAGAATTAATAATTTAAAACTTCACACAACTCAGTTCTCAGACTTTTCACTCTTCTCACAAGAATTCTAAATTGCATCTAGACTGCTAACTTGCAACAAAAATGCATCAATAGAATTAGCTATAAGAGGTGGAAAAATGCAGAATGCATCATTGCATTTTAAAATAACACATTAAGATGTCATTAAAAGTTATGGAATGTAAAATTATCCATTACACTTCATTAATTCTAGTTCATGAGATATTGGATGACAGAGAAAGATTTAATATAATAAAAGTTTTAAGATTTTGGCAAAAAGAATTACAATAAAAGAAATATTCAGTCACTGATATGTTGACATTTTTCATATTATATACTTTGGTTAAAGCAATGAAATCTAACATCACTATAATTAAATGATAATTTATCATTGTGGAGGTTCAGAGTGGCATAACAATTATTGGCAGAGAAAATAGAATCATTCTGGCTGAGATAATTTGTGCTCATTCTACAGAAATGCCTTTGAGAAATGGTATGAATCCATCTCACCTAATAGATCAGCTTGTGGATTATTCTTTGCTGTTTAGCTTTCACAACTATATGAACATATAACAAGGCAGTTTGGGAACCCTGTAAGACAGTTCAACTAAGAGAGGGGGCTACTCTGACAAAAACATACAGCTTAGCAGTTACTTTGACCATTTCAGTTTGACAAACCAAGGAGGGAACCAAACCCAACAAGTCAATTGTGTGAATGAGATAATATTCACTTTAAAACACCAGAACAGAAGGTATCTACAAATGGAAAGATCATGCTCACCTGATCCTTGCAAATAAGGAGCAAGCCAACAATTTATCATTTTAAAGTGATATAACTACAATTGGCAATTAAATTAAGAGTAGCTAAAATATTTTCATAAATATTGAATTAAACTATCAAAAATTAAAAAGCCTATACAAAGAAATATTTCAAATATTACAGGTAATTCCTGTAATTCTAGCATTTAAAAATGTATTAACTTTTAGTAATTATAGTCATTTAAAAATTAAAATTATCACCTGATTCTCCAATCAGCTAACTGATATTGTTTGTCCACTTCTCTTTTGCAATATCTGGCCATCAGGTAGGAGAGGGAAAAGCGACTAAAATTGAGCACTCGAGCTGCTTGGCCAGTATCAAACATATTTACAACATATACACCAAAATCCCTCTGCAACCAGTCAATATCACAGTTAGCACCATGAAATACCTGAAGAAGATAAAAGGAAATAATACATTTATTAATCAGTAAATGAATTGTCTTTTGAAGTACATTAATCAACAGGAAATGAAGATCTTTTCAATTGGAAATCTCAAGAATTCTAATACAATAAAAAAAATTTTTAATGAGAAGAGAAAATCTTGAAATTTAGCCATCAGTTGAATATTATGTTACTGAAATTCAGGAACTTGTCCTCGACTTTATTGTTTTGAACTTTGATAGTAAATTCAGAATCCTCTTGAACCAAATTAGAAAAAAAAGCAGTCATTGAGGATTAAATTTATTATCAATGCTTTGTAAGCTGAATACACTTTCAAAGCAGCTACTTCCTCCATTTCCATTAAGTACACTTCTTCTCAAACAGAGAACATAAAATTTCTTTGATAAATTTTTTTTTTTTTTACTTAAATATAACTATCATTATTCTGCATTCCAACTAATTTAATTTTTTCAGCTATAGAATTAAAAAATTAAATCAATTAAACTTGTTATATTTTAAATAGATTTTAGCCTAAATTCTTTAGACAGGGTCATTCAGAATATTGTTGTGCCATTGAAATGTTTTCCTATAGATTACCTTTTGTCATCTTAAACAACTAAAAATCTCTTCTAATAATAACTAGAATTACATTGCCTATAATAAAACCCTGATGAAAGGAGATAACTCTTTCTTCTGCCATTTTGTATTAAAATTAAAAATATAATTTCTCTTTTACTAAACTTGGACAAGACGAGCTTTTATGAACACCAAAGAATCAAACTTCTGAGAAGAAATTCCATAAGGGCACAAACACTAAATCCTAGAACTAATCTGCAAAATCAAAAAAAAGGTCAATTTGAAAAATTGATTAATAATTAATATACTTTGTCAATAAAGTAGAACATAAAAAAAATACTAAATTTTTCTTTAGAAATGAAAAATCCATTTTGGGATATTATCAAGATTTCAGATTAGGCATCAAAATAAATTCCAATTTCACATTATCATTTCAATATTCTGCTCATAAGAATATCAATTTCTTCTCCTAAATATATAATAAATAATGATCTATATACTGTCTGAATTTGCAAAATAAGAAATGATCATTATTGTACACTATTTAAACTAGTATCCTCATCTTGGTTGTTATAATCAATGTGTTGGCCATTGTACCCTCTGATTTTCTAAAGGTGCGTGTCATATTCAGTAACACTCAACAGAATTTCAAACTGAATTCTTTATTTAATCCACTGGGATAGACTGTTCTCATCAAAAACCATAGTCTGTGAAGAGACTATAAAGTCTGGTATAACTGATCATGTATGGAAAGGAAAAATGTTATAACCCACCCATATGGAATGAATTCAATAGAGAGCAACATTGAAAGAATTAGTGCACATGTTAAGTTCAAATAATCTCAGTCAGCCTAGCCTAAAACTGGACACTATATCAGGAAAGAACAGCTTCTAAAGAACAAGTCTATGGTTCCCAAATTACACTTGTTTAGTTGATATGTTGGTTAAATGAATGCATTTTACCTGGCAATTGTGTATTCCATCCCTAAATCAGTCAGTGAAATGAACAGAAGTGGAATCTTAAGGACAAATTAACAAGGAAGACTTAACTAATACAAGATCCTCCTTGACATGAACAATGAAAGAACAGTCTATCTCCATGCATTTAATAAATGGTTCAGTTCAAAATGTTGAAAACATTACCAAATATGACAGGACCTGAAGATGGTTAGGAGGTACAACAGTCAAAACAAGTGAATATAACAACCAAAATAAATCAATGTATAAAAATCAAATACTTGTTAAATGTGAATACTTGCAGAATTCAATTAATAAATTTGATTTCAATTGATAAAAATCATCAATACAGTTTTGTGTTATACTGAGTAAATATTAATAATAAAGGTTTTAGAGATTATTTCTCTCATTCATATATAACTTTTCCACACATTTTTTATTATTCATTTCCTTCATATTTAATGACTACAGCCAATATTATATATTTAACATTAATACTTACTTTGACTATTTTGGGGTCAGTAAAAATATCGTTAAGAAGTTCTATTTGTTTTCGAAGTTCCAAAGTATCAATGATGTAATCCTGTTTACGTGTAGAAATCTGCATGAGGCAGGTTAAACCTTGGAATGAACGATACGAATGAGCCTGAAAGAGAAACATTTAAATTTCAGTGAACTTGAAGTACAAAAATTCTAATAACCCATGAACAATAAAGTCCGTAAGTTTGTTTATTTAATATTTATTGAGCATAAAATTTACAGAATTACAATAGGAAAAACTTTATATTTCAATTTTAAGCTTAGACTATTTTGGATTTTTTAAATATGTGCACCATTTTGTTTTCTAGCATGTAACTGTATTAAAACTACTAAGATATTTTCCCTTGTGTACCTACATTGCTGCTGGCTCCTGTCAAAGCTGACAATGACTATAATCATTTTTTAACAGTTATTACATGTTGAATACACTTTCAACAAATATATACATATAATAAATCTAAATAGATCTAAATTAACACCAAGATAAATTTATTCAATCAGTTTTTAATATAAAAAGGGGAAAATTATTATTTATCTACAATGATAACTATATCTGTGACTGTCTTGTAGTGATCAACTATAAATGTTAATAATTTTTCTCACCTGATCAAAAAAAATTTTAATGACTTTTATGTATGAGTTTAATGCATGTATATTTGTATACAACTTACATTAATTTTTCAGTCAAAGTAAAAATATAAACAAATTTACATAAAATAACAACATCTAACATCAACAGGTAAAATTGGAAATTGATAGAAGACAAAAAATTTCTTTAAACGCAAACACAAAAAACAAGTTATTTATGGTAGATAATGAATGTAACAATTTTTACAGTTACTACTATCTAGTAATCAGATAAAAAAAACACTTACTTCTAAATCAACTGCAATGATTTCTTGCTCAGCAAGCTGTTGACAAAGATTCTTTAGTTGATCTGATGTGTCTACAAATGTGAATGGTGTGTTTTCAATAGATGCAGGTTCCTAAAGAAAAATGATAAAAGTACAAGAACTGCCAAAACAATCAAGATTACATACTGATAAAAAAGAGAAAATCTATACTAAGTATGATGTATGCAACAGGCCAAATTTAGGGAAAACAATTTATTTCAGTAAAGATTATATGATAGTCTTTTGAAAAAAGCAGTTACAGAAAAAAAGCATTTTTTATCATAAATTAATACAAAATTTCAAGATTTTGATATTTGGTTCTTTAGCTACTCCAATAAATTTATTTCACTAATTTATTGTAAAATGTTGACTGAAAAAAATTTTTACATGAAAAATATTATGTTGTACTAGCAAATGCATTTTGCATTTAATATCAGATAAGAGTAAAAAATACAAATTACCTGTGGTTCACATTTTTCAAGTTGATGAGGAACCATCTGAAAATGTTCCAGTTCATGAGCATATGGATGAGGATAACTAAAATTATACAAAGCAGATTAACAGTACTTTATTTGAAAGGAAAAAGCAGGAAAAATATTTAAAACAGCGATGGGCAAACTACCACCTGTTTGGTCTTTCTGACTAGCACACTTAATTTCATAAGGAAAATAACGTTTCCTAAAACTTTGTTTTGTTTTCATATGTTTACTACACTTTCTCATACATAATGAGTAAATACAATGTTTCTTGAATTTTGTAAACTTTCAGTGAAAGTAACATTTTCATCAATTTAAACCATTGGCGATTTTTACTAAGGAAGATCATATGTGTGAACATCTATTGCTTTTGAAACAGGAAACATTCATAATTTTTTCTCTGAAGAAGAAATATGCTTTTTTTATTTTCACATATATAAATTAGAAATAAATCACAAGCAGTGGCATATAGTAATCATAGTGTCATCAATGATATTATACCAAGACTTTAATTTTTTTTAATTATGGAAAAAACTTTCCTCTAAAGAAAAAAAAATAATCAACTTTTCCCCCATTTTTAAGATATATGCTCACACATATGGTCTTATGTAGTGAAAATTGTTAAGGTACCTACTATGAAAAATTACCTTGAATCTTTTTAGTAGCACAGCCCGTCTACTGCTCCAAAAAGTTTGCCTACACCAGATTTAGCATTTACTGACAAATGCAGTGTTTGGAAATAAGCCTAAAGTATGTGTTTAAATCCCACTTGTGGTTTCACAATTTTTGAAAATATTTAAATAACAAAATGGGAAACTGTTACCTAGAAAGTCACTAAAATATTAAAATATTTTGCCAAAATGAAATCATAACTTAGCTATTGCAGTATTAAGACAAAAGTTTCCATTAATTTTAGAGGCAATTTTTTGTATTCATATAAATTCAGATCATCATTATTCAGACATCACAGCATTTTCCCTGGCTTTTTATGATCATACACAACCTTCCAGCTAAATAGAGTATCTAAAAAAAAAAAAAAGAACAATTGTAGTTTTCATTTGAGAAAATCTTTTTATATCTTCAATTTCATGGAACCACTGACAAGATGGGTGTTATATGAAGCAAAACAAGTGACAGCATGAAGGTTTCTCATCAATAGAATACACCAGATGTAAAAGTTCAAAACTCAGCCCCATTATTATTAGCACATTGCATTTATAACATGAGAACATGTGTTGTCATTCAGTTATATCATCAATTGACTTCCTTGCTCAGAAAATTATTTTGGGTTTCAATCTATCATTAAAACTAGCTGACAAATTCTCCTTTATTTTTTCTGCAAGTTCACATGTTTGTGCTCCAATTCTAAAGTTCCTCTGATTCATTAGTTTTTAATTTTTGAGGAATTCCAGATTATTCTTTGTCAAGGAACTCAAAATATAATTTTTTCAAAATTTACAAACCAATCACAAATTGTGCTTAAATATACAGAATCATTATCATAAATTTCAAAAGATCCATTGTCTAAAATCCCACTACAAATTAAACAAATAGTAAACTATGTTAAATGTATAATTCATTTGTGATTTTTACCAAGATAAAGTGAAATTATTGCAGAAACAATTCTTAAAGAGAATGTATTCACAAACCATAAAAGAGCTGAATAATCCTAAAAGACATTTTTACTATTTCTCCAAAACTGTAACAGAGATAGTACTGGGGACTTCAACATACCTTCAGTGAAAATATAACAGTAAGTAAGCACAGATATTAATAGTTTCCAAGTTATACAATATCATATTTTCAACATTTTTTTTTATCTCGGTAAATGGTCTTACTTTTTAGAAAAATAACAATGCTAAACTATGTCAGACAATCCAAGAAAAAAAAGCAAGATTATATAACAGCGAAGTACTTCTTTGAAAACCAAAATTATACGCTATAATATGTTCTAAAAAACACATCTAGAACTGCATCTTGTCTTATATTCACTGAAAATGCCTTTGAAATGCATTTCAATGAACCTGATTAAATTTCATGTTTACACTGACAATTTTACAACAAGCATTTATAAGAGCAACAGTAGACTAAAATTCTTCAATTTCAGTCATCCAAAATGGTAAAAGCTAAAACCTAAAAAGAACTAACTTGCAAACTTACATAAATTCTGGGTCTTCCAATTCCTCAGCATTGGCTGAAATCTGTAAACTTTCTAAAAAGAAAAAATATAGATTGAATGATTTATGTGGTATTAAGTTAGTCATGAAACTAAATTGTAATAGAAACTGAATAAAATTATTATTAAAAATTGAAAATAAAATTTGATTTAATTCTCTATATTTAATCTATTTTTATTTACTATATTTTATAGTATATACAAACTATTTATATTTAACAAAATAGTATTATGGAGTTAGATCTAGTAAAGTATATTTTTTGACATCAGGGCAAACACTGACCTGCCAGTTTATTTAACATAAAATTTGCAAGATATACATGCAGAGAAAAAAAAACAATTCACAAAATAGAATTATAAAAATATTTTTTAGAAATACATATAAAATAAATTCTAAATGAGTTGGAAAATAATATTAAACATTTATTAACCTATTCTCTAGATGCTTAAATATTGCAAGTGAGTTTGAAATAACTTATGAAGTCAGGTGTTCTGCAGAGGACATTATTAAATGATATTGATGAAAATATTTACATATTTGTATATCATTCTTTCTTCTAGTTTAAATAACTTCTGTAAACTATCAAAAGTTCACTAATTCTAAGTTATTTTTTATCCAAGATATGGCAAAAAAGCTTTTTACTTTACATTTTAATTTTGAATTTTGTCATTTAAATTAAAAATATTAATCATCATACTAAAAATATCTATTTACTACTAACTAGTGTAAGATATATTATTATATTATTATATTTTTCAAATGAATAACCAGTTCATTTTGACATTTATAAAATTTGCAACAAGATTTATATAGATGTTTCTAAAAAAATATTCTATATAAAGTTTTGTACTTACCTTCAAGCAACTTAAGTGCATTAGGCTTTCTTCGAATGTTAGGAACAAAAGGGCGATTTCTATTGTCGATATCATCAGAAAACTTGCTCTGAGGCCTACATATTTGTCTAGCTGCCAAAAGACGATAGTTATTGCTACTTCCACCAGTTGATGGGGGATTCTGCACAAAACAAAAAACAAAACAATATTAAATCTTTTAGAATAATTAACTTAATTCACAATATTAAATAAAACAAGGAAGATTTGCTGAAAACAAAAAATACAATGAAATTATAAGAATTCAGAGATGGTGTATTGAAGGGATATGCTGAGACATTGTACAAAGCTTATTTTCAGAAACCAGACTTATGTTGTTTTTTTCTAGATATTTTTTGTTTGACAGTAATATTTTATAATCAAAAATACTAAAATTCCATGGAAAAACAAATTTTTCTTAGATTTACCAGAACCTTTTCAATATAAAAAATATTTTCATTTATGAGTCAGCTAATGTTTTTTGTTTCTTTTTATTTTTTATACCTAATGAGAATTGCTTGATGTATATTCAAATCATAAAGGGGAATTTAACAAGATATTATCCTTCTTTTAGGCTTTAGAGAAGAAATTCTAAACAAAAATAAATTTAACTGTATTTTTCTGCAGCATTATGTATGTTTTAATAAATTCGCATTACAATGCCAGTACAGGAATAATGTAAAAACTATTCCAAAAATGAACATAATTAACATAAATTATTCATACTGTTCTTATGAACTCTGCAACTGAACTTTCTCAAATATACAGAATTGTTTTAATCATGGGAAGAAATAAAATTTTATGTAAATGTGTTTAACTTTATAAGAAAAAGATAAAGATATTAAAATTAATAGAAATATTGGTGAGACTAATGTGTTTATTGTAACAATTTTTTAAATAGCAATTGTGATTAAATTGTTCTTGCAGTAAATTAGTAACACTGAAATAAGCAACAATACAACAATATATTTCAAATACATAGAAGCTGGCATTTCAATTTTTAATCAAAAAGTTTAGAAATAAAAAATGCTAGTGAACAGCCAACAAAGAATGATAAGCAAGTTAATATACAAAATCAGATCTAAAGAGGAATTCAGATGAAAGTTTTAGAAAAAAGATAGAAATTGTTGAAGGGAATAAATACAAAGCAATAATGATGTGATGCCTTTATCTGTTTTAAATAAAGAGTAAAATGGAACAAAGCAGAAACGAGAGAAAACTAGCAGCAGATGATGAAAAATAGAGAATATTTGGTTCCCATCAAAGAAAAAGGAGCTCAAAAAGTTAATCTTACCTTTTTATTCCAGCTAGCCGTATTTGAATGCTTGGGTGTAAAGTTTGTAATTACAAGAGAGGTTTCAGCTTTCTTTACACCAGAAGCTTCATCTAACAAATTTCCCTAAAAATGTAACAAAACATAATGAGAAAGAATTAATTTTTTTAGTTAGCAATAATTTTATATAACATATTTTTTGAAAAAGAAAACAGTTCAGGCATCAAACATCTAGTTCGTGGCTATGTTTATTAAAAACTTTATTTTTAAAATTTAAAATACACTTTCTGTTAAATATATATCTATAGAGATTTATCTTAAACTACCATTGACGCTTAACGTGGTTATCTACCTTTGCTGATTATCTGCCCTTAGTTCCGGGTCAAGGCGTATTCTTTCTTTCTTGTTTATGTGTTGTCCCCCACTCAGGACATAGACAATCATGGTTCTCCACAATTTCCTGTCCTTTGTAGCTCTTAATAAATTTTGTCTTTATGTTATTTCTCCTAAAACCTTTCATCCATTTACTCAAGCTCACGAAGTATGTTATGATTTGTTTCCCTCTTGCCTTCAGTATGTCCTGTGAGTATCAAATTTACCAAGCCCTCTTTCTTCATTATGTGCCCCAGAAATTTCAAATGCTCTTCCTGACGTTAAGTATAAGTTTCTTTTTTGTTCCCATTTTCTCTAAAACTTCGTCGTTGCTTACATATTCAGTTCATGATATCCTCAGCATGCTTCTGTAGAACCATATTTCTGTTGCTTCAAGTCTCTTCTTCATCTTTGAGGAAATTGTCCAGCACTCACAGCGATATAAGAGGACAACTTTCATATAACAGTTCAATATTCTTTTCTTTGTTTCTAACAAAGTTTTTCAGTTTCTTAATACACTGCTTAGCTTTTGGAATGCATCATTGTCTATCCTAACGTGCCTTCAGATTTCAGTGTTGCACTTTTCATCATCTGCTAAAACACTTCCCAGATATTTAAATTTTTGTACTTGTTTGATTTTGGTATCTCCAATTTGTAATTTACATTTTGGGCTCATCTTTTTACGAACAACCATGCATTCTGTCTTCTTGAAGTTGATGTTTAATGCTTTCTTCTTGCTTTCTTTCACTAACTTCTGTAGTTTTTGTAGTTTTCTTTGTGTTCGCTATTAACTCTGTCATCTGTATATCTTATGTTAAGATTTTGGCCACCAATACTGAATGGGAGGATTTATTCTCTTGGAATCACCTTAATGTATAGGTTGAATAAATCCTTGTCTTATATCTCTTTCTAGTTTTGTCTATCTGCTGAACACATTTTCTATCCGTATACAGGAAGTTTGCTGGCAGTATAGGTTCTTGATTATTCTAATATCCTTCCCAAATATGTCATATAACAGATCTTTGTGGCATACCTTATTGAATGCCTTAGCGTTATCGATAAAATACAGGTACATGTTCTTCTGTATTTGTATTGCTCTTTCTGGTAACATTCAGATCATAAATATTACGTTCCTTGTTCCAGTATCTTTGATGAACACCAACTGTTCTTGTCCTGTTCTTTCTATTAAACATCATCTTAAAAATGTATGCATACATTTGGATAATTTCTACATCCATTTTCCTTATAAGGACTCTATATCTAGAAGCTTTTGACCACCAGACTTGGTACATTGCCATCCCCTAGGCTGCAATCAATTTTAAAACAAGCTGAGACACCAGCCTGGAGGAAAAAAGAACTAAACAAAATAACAATGTCCAAGCAGAGCTCCCTACAGATCAGATATTCTCCTGCAGCCACTGTGGAAGGTCTTGCCAGTCTCATATCAGCCTCACCAGCACATATGCACCAAATAAGAAAACTAAACAGACCTTTAAACTAATCTTCAATATCAAAAATATATACCATATGGTTGAGGTTTTTCTATATATCTCTGCAGGCATTTTGACAAAAGTCACAATTTTTCCTTTTTATTGTTAATAAAGTTATAAATTGAGTCCATTTACTTAGGCCTATACTATGAATAGGTTTTTATGAATAACTGTCTTTATCTAGCCCAGGAAATCAAGTTTAGGCTTTAATTCAGCCTGCATAGCCAAACAAACTTGACACCCTTGAAAAAGTTGAAAGTTCTAAAAAATTAACTGAACAAAGGAATAGTCATTTTAATCTTAATCTTTTCTTTCTTTCATTATGCAAATCCCTATATCCTAAACAAAATATTTTTAATGGTCACAAAGTAAAAATGTGTTTTTAGAATTTAAATTGTTAATAATTTAAGGATACCAAAAATCAAAAAGCACCACCTGCTTTTCAAATTTATACTAAATGCTCTTTCCCATATATCTACTACTCATCATGACATCTGTGAAAATACCAGATAGACCCAAGGTTGAAAAATTGGCTAAATAAAACCATAATGCATTTCTTAATGCTGGATGTTTTCAGAGAAAATAATAGAATCATTATCTTGTTAGAAAACAATGATGTTAAACAATAATTCAATAAAAAAATAAAATATTTACAATTTTTTCCAATAACTGGTCATTAGCATCCATGATAAAATCAAATTTATCTTCAATTTCTGTCATGCTTCCTGTGTTAGCCATCATGTTGCCCTTCACATGCTGATGCTTCATAATATCCTGAATCCTACAATAAAAGCAAAAATTATCAACCAAATTAATCCAATGTGTTTGATACAAACTTAGATAAATATCCATCAACAATAGAATCACAAGGTACAATGTTACTTTATATTTACCCAAGTTTTTAGGAAAAAAAAAAAAATAAGTATCACATCCTCAGCTTTTAATATCAATAAGAAAAATCTTCCCAAAGACAAACTTATTCAATAATTTCTGCTTTCAGTTAATTTATTTTAAATGAATGCATAAAGAACTTTCCTTATTCAAAATACTGTCTTTTTTGGTGGATAAGATGTACATATTTTACTCCAAAATTTGAATTTTATGTATATATATTATAGAATGTATAATAGTATCTGAAACAAAAGTAGATACGATGAGAAAGTGGAAACAATTCTGACTGACTTGTTTCCCCAACATGACATGTTTTGGGTTCTGCTTCTTTAGATTAGAATGAAAGACGAAACAAATGCACTAGGATTTTTAAGGCTCAATATATATTACTTTAAACATTATTTTTAGTGGATATCATATTTGAGTAGATTCTAAATTTATTTTAAATAGTATTTTATTTTGCTACAGGTCTGAAATATACCATATATATATATATATATATATATATATATATATATATGAATGAAAATATGCTGCTTAAATATACACAATATACACAATATATATATATATATATATATATTGTGTATATTTAACAACATATTTTCATTCAAACAAATTTAAATAATTTAGACATATGTCAATTAGCTTTTGTTGTGATCCTTTCAAGTTCGCGGACTCATTTTTTGGTAGACTTAGAAAATGGAGTAAGAAAAATACCAAAATACATCTATATTACATAAAAACAATAACAGGCAAAAACTAAAAATCCTTGAAGCCTTTTATATAAGAGAGTTAAAACCCCAAATAAATAAAGTCAATTATGAGTATAGCAACAAAGTCCTTAAATGCTTATGAAAAAAAAATTTAATACATATGAGCAAAAACAAAAAGTTACTTCCCATATACTGGAAAAAACCCAAAAGAATACATAAACTTTGTAATCTAAAATGCTGCATAAGCAGTAAATAAAAAACAAAACAAAAAAAAAAAAGTAGTTGAAATGTTTTAAATTCAGAGACACATATACATACTCACAGACAACTTAATCCCCTGAAGATGATCTCAGATGATATTGAAAGTAATTGGGAAAATAAAAACTATTCAAAAGAAAATTTTGGTATTTTTCTTACTCAATTTTTTAAGTTTACCAAAAAATTGATTAAATTTTTACTTTAATATCTTCCTCTTAAAGAATTTCAGGTACAGCTTGGCATTCCTAATATTATAACCAAATCTTAATGGTGGAAAGGGATGGTGTGTATATGTGCGTGCGTGTGTGTGTGTATATATATATATATATATATATATATATATATATATGTGTGTGTGTGTGTGTGTGTGTACGTTTATATGTATACATATATGTGTATGTGTTAAATCTCCCATGACCTAATAATATAATCCACTAGCAAAAACCTAAATTCATTAACATACTAAATGACTTGCCCATAAATAACCCCCCAACCCCAGCCCATCATCTAAACTGAGGCTATTATCATCTATTAAGTGGCCCTATATGTTTCCACCAACACTATCTAAACCAAATTCAAAAAACACCATTTCCAGAGAGTCTTGGGCTGAGGATAGCTGGCACATAGAAGTGTTAGTTTGAAATAGACTATATCCACATGAGGTAATTTTGAATTTTTTGCTGTATAAAATGTGTGTGTATATATATATATATATATATATATATATATAAAAATGGGAAAATGATATATAAATTTTTATATATCAAGAAGTGCGATGAAGTCCTAAAGAACAAAACTTCTTCCACTTTGTCATAGTTTTTTCTTGCCCACTAAAATATATACCATATATTTCCACATATAAGCAACCTTTAGATAAGACTAGGTAAAAAAAAATATATCAAATTTTCATGAATTTATCCTATACCTGTAGTATAAGATAATTACTTATTGATTATATAAAAATAATCTTATTGGAAATGTTGTTACTTACTGTATACTTAGAAATTCAAAAGAAATGAAATAACAAAACCAATTCTACATTATGATTTTCCTAAACACATCCCCTAAAAGGGAAACCATTGTTTTGTTTACGTTTCATCATGTGATCTCTTGTGTAACTAATTCTTCTTCCTCCTCCTCTTCTTTTCATATATCTAAACAGTGACAGTCTGGTCTACTAATGACCATTTACTTCATCAACAATCATAAAATACTGCTAATAACAGTACAATAACATACAATAATAGTACATTCTATTACTGTGAATGTAATCATAACTCAATGTTTACATTTTCTCAGCTGAGTTTGCATGGATACAAATTGATTTCATTGATATGGAATTATTCTTTAAATAGGAAATTTATTATAAAGTTATGCCAATAATATATAAATAAGATAGAAATGGTTTTATTACTTTCATTATCAGTTTATTTGATAATGTGAATATCTTCATGTACGTTACTGTCACACTGAAGCCACGGTTAGCCTACCAACAAACATCACTCAGAATTATGTTGTTTTTTTTTTTTAGAATTGTAGTATTAGATGCCCCACCCATTTTTAAGGATGATTTTTGGTATTTAAAGGTCATCTTATACACAGGAATGTACAGTATGCTAAAAAACTGTTCACCCAAAATCTTTAGAGTATCTTTAATAATCCACCAACTGTATTGAGAGTTAATCATAACATGTCTGTCATGTTTGTCACATTCCTGCAAAAAATAAATCATGGTTTATATTTCCTTTAGCAAACATGTTTTATATATACTCACATGTGTAATATTCTTTTACCCTCAACATCCATGATGTCACGGAATCCCTGAAAACTGGCATAATAATCATAATCATCTCCTTCTGCTGGTAATACATTGGAACACTTGATGCACTGCAGGACAGCACGCAAGAGGCTCTACAGTAAAAGGTAAAGTTAAAAAAAAAAGGGGTTTCCATAAGTATTTCTTACACAATTAATCCCGAGACTGTAGTTAATATCTCTAGATTTCTTACAAAAGAAGTCAAATAAAATCATCTTTTACAATTTTATAATTAATGAAAAATCCCTCATCTATCACTAAAATATCCCAGCATTCTTCTTTTACTGTAAGCAATTTACTGTATTATTATTTTATTTTAGTAAGTACAATATTCTTACACAAAGCAGACAGTTAAAAAAAAGAAGTAGGGAATTATTTGAAGTATTACATATTTAAAAAAAAAGAAAAAATAATAACAACAATTCTCAACCAAGACAAAGTACTATCTCATTCAGCAATCAGTTTTATACAACCACTTGCCTTAAATAAAGATAACAAAACATTTTTTATTTGTGCTATTCAGTTATTTTCATCTACTTTACAAACACAAAATAACTATAAATATCAACAAGTTATAAAACTTAATTCAAAACAATACAAAAGCTTCTTTTTATCTATCAGTATTGAAAACTAAGTATGTTAAACCTACAAGAGTCAATCTCACTATATGTACATGTGTGTTACATTAAAGATGACTGATAAAGTACTGCAATTGAGCATTTTATTCAATTTTTTTTGTCTTCATACAAGTGTTTCCTTTTCTGGACAGTGTGTAAAAATTACATTTTTTTTTAACTGAATATGTATATTGCTTATATATGTGTATCTATAGAGTTATGAATTCTTTTTTTTTTATTTTCTAATCATGGTCAGAACATTGTGGCCATGTTCATATTTTAGATTATTCAGTGTTTTTTACACACTATATATCCAAAACAGAAAATACATGTGAACACAAGAAAAATAGAATAAAAAGCTTAATCACAATACCTTGTCAATCATCTTTAATAAAACTTACACAAAGGAGAGACTGCTGCTCAAATTCACAATTAAATTAATATATATATATATATATATATATATATATATATATATATATATATATATATAGTGCGATGGATAAACTGTCGTCTAAATTATGCAAAAATGAAAATAACATCTCATTTTAACAGATATAGTTACCAAAATTACATAAAAATATTTTGAAATACTGAAGAGTAAATTTATTCAATAAAATTGCCATTGGCCTCAATCGTGGCTTCCAGATGACTTCAGAATCTCCTGCAATTCTTCTGGATGGTCTCTTTGTTTAAGTTGGTGAATACTGCCATAATCCTTTGCCTTCAGTTCATCTCTGGTGTTACACGGAGTTTTGTCAATCTCTAGCTCAACTGTTCCCTACACATAATAATCAAGGGGGTTGCAGTCTGGGGAGTTAGGTGGTCAGATGTAAGGGGTGATGTGGTCACAGAAATTGTCAGACAGCCATGAATGGGATCTCCTGCTTGTGTGGCATGGTGCAAAGTCCTGTTGACAGACACAGGGTCTTCCAGCAGACACCCTCTTGACCCAGGACAGCACTACTTCTTCAAGGCACTTGATGTAGGCCTCAATGTTGAGTCTGAAGCCCTCACCAACAAATTTGGGAGTTCTTTTCTTATCAGAACGATCAGAGTGAGTTTTCTGAGTTGTCATTCCTTCATAATCACCATTAGTCTTATCCAACTGTTTCTAAATTCTCTGTCCTCAGATTGACACCCAAACACACTGAAATGTTCGTATTGGAGCTTCCGGCATGAATGCCAAGCAGTACAGCACACAGTTTCGAAATTTCAAGAAATGTATTTAGAAAGCTGATATCTGGTAAATAGTAGAAGCATGAAAGTAACAAAATTGACACCACTATTAAGAAAACAATTCTAACAGCAAATCAAAATTGAATTATTATACAGAAACAAATGCCCAGAGGTAGAGGTTAAACTTTTTACTTGAAAAATACTGAAGTAAATCAATAAATTATGTAAAACTATTTTTAACAAGTTTTCTTGATATATAAAATGCAATGTGACTTTTATATTTTTCAATCACTGTATTAGCAACCTGATCTCACTATTTCACAATGATATATCCCTTTGTCATCATGAGGTGTGATTTAATGCCACTCAAATTGAACAGAGTTTCTTGTTACTATAATAATGTAATATCTCAATGTTAACAACTTAAATCAGGTTGCTTTTTATTTATTCTGTTAGCTTTCTTTGGTATGTATTCAGGATTAAAAAAAAAAAAAAGAATCAGATGACTATTTCTCAACAGTAAGTCATAGTCAAGGGAAGAAAATTTTAATTGCTTATTGAACTTCTTGGAGTTAAATGCAACCTTAAAATTAGTAAAATAGTATAACATTAGAGTTAATTCAAAATTCACATGCATAAAATGTAATGTGTATACATATATACTATTTAAGTATAAGTAACACTTTTCTACATCACAAATTCTCAATTTCTTTGGTGATACAGAAAATTATTCAAATGTTATTTAGTTTTAAAAATCAATACTTATTGAAGGCAAAGAAGAAAATAAGTTTTTGATATTTTATAAATTTTTTGATAGTATGGGTAAATTAGTAATATTTTTATATAAGTTTTTTTCCTTTCTTAACATATTTTATTTACAAAACATTACACTGACCAGAGATTATGCATACTTCTCAAGGTCAAGAAAACTACATTAAACCCATTTATATCTAAAACATATGTTGTGAAAGTTATATAAATGTTTCTTTTGTTAATAAAGACAAATTTGCAATGATCAATAACATGTCTCCTCAATGAACAGCTGGTAAATTGACAAAACACTTTTTGGTTTTATAAATGATATATCAACATGTGTTTGTGTGTGTGTGTATATATATATATATATATATATGGAGAGAGAGAGTGTGATATAATAAAGATTGTATTTTACAAAATAAAAAAAGTCAACTAGAGAATTTCTGAAATATTTTTAAAGCAAGCAGTCTTTGTATTTATATTGCTCAATATCAACACACAGAGCATAAATTGTAACAAATAAAATTAAATGTTCACTTATATGTATAATTTCTCAAAATAAATTAAATTTTACAAGCTTGTGATGAGTTGATGTAATCTCTACAACTCATAGTGACCAATAATTGAACGTTTAATTTTATTTGTTCATCTCCCCCACTCTCTGTCTCTCTCTCATATATATATATATATATATATATATATATAACATATATATAAATAAAACATATATAAAATAAAATATTCTTTTTTAAGGTACGCTATATTTATGGCTTAAAATGCTCAATATCAGGGATAGAACATATGTAAATATAAAATTGCATATTGAAGTCAATACCTAATGGCGGTAGTCTGTTTCATGCTTAAATGATTGATCTGACAATTGTGTCTAAGCATGAAACAGGCTGTTGCCAGTGGGTGTTGACTTCAATGTCCACTTATATATATATATATATATATATATATATATATATAGGAATGTGTAGGATAAAAAATATACATACACCTACAAAAAACTGTATGTATGTATAAATATATTTCTTCCACAGGTGTTATAAATAGAGTGCTCAATGTTATGAGACAGAGCTATATCTTAGTGAATATACACAATATCCAACATCGATAGCACAACTCAGTTTCATGCAGTTGCTGCAATCTTCAGGTGAAAATACAACTTGGCCATTATTTTTCATTCTTGTGATAATGATTCAAAATTTTTTGTTAAGACTTGTTTATTTAATTATTGCTGCCTAAAATATTACAATTAACTAATAATAATTTATATCATTCAAATTCATAAGTTCGAAAGGCGAAGAAATAAGAAATTAAAGAAATTTAAAAAAATATAATTTAAATTATTTCTATTTAAATTTGGATTCAAATGTAAACAAAATATCAAGGGGGGTAAATCTCATTTTGGACAAAAATATTGTAATATCAAATAACACAGGATGCAAATATAATACAGTTCACGAATTTAATTTGTTCTGAAGCCCGTTCCTAAACCGAAACTATTTTTCCAATAGGAATCAATGTAAAATGGATTAATCTGTTCCTGGTCCCAAGATGATTGCTTATTTAAACTTTTACAACAGTAATTTATGCACAAGTTTATACACAAAACAAATGAAAATCATTAAATCTAAGAAATAAATAAATAAACCCAATACTAAACAGATAAAATATATACAAACATTTTAATTTTACCGTACCTGTAAGTAGGAGAGTTGATGGTGGAAGGGGAAGGAAAGAGATGTTATTGGGAAGGAAAGACATGTTCATCTCTTTATTTATAAGAATAGTCTAGATCATTGGTCTTGCCATATGAAACTTGAGTAAGAGACAATATCATCAACAATTGTTTTTCTCTTAACTTTTCTTTTTCCTTTACCAGTATCACTGCTAGCTTACATTTGAGCTATGACTGAGGACTAATGAAGAGAAAAAAAGGCACAATACAATAAAATTGGAAAAGAAAAGCACATCACAACACATGAATGTATGCAACACGACGGTCGACTAAGAAATGATTCTGTTCAGGTAAACTTGGTTTGGCAATGTTGTTCAAAAAATGAAATTTTGTTTGATAACCGAGGTATTTTCATCTCGAATTTTCTGTTTGAAAACTGGTTTGACATTTGAGAACCAAGGCTGCTCTGTATAAAGGTATAGATAAAAAAAATTAATAGGTTGGTACTATCTAACTAATGTGCTTGGAACCAAGCCTTGTAAGGTGAAATTATATAAACACACAATATGTGTGTATAAATATATAAGAAATGTTATTAATGATGGGTTCTAAGAATATTAAAAGTTGTTGCATATTAGATTAATATTTGTGAAATCTATTTTGTAATCTCTTTTAATCGAGGTTGATGTGTTTTAGCAGGTGCTTGGATTTATGAATACATGTAGACATTAATTCGGTCCTTGTGTTCAGCAGGTTAGGGTTATTTAAGTGTTTTAAAATAAGCTTCTCCAACAAACACAAGGATGCCCTTCTAGTAGGGCAGTTAGATAATCCCTATTGCAGACACCCATGCAGG